TCTTATCAGGGATGAGAGTAGTCAGAAAGTAAAAAAGAGGAAATCCAAGAAGAAAATATATATATATATAAACAAAAATTTGACAAAAAAGTACGATTTTTAAACTTCTAAACCATGTGATTATAAATCCCGATATGAAGCTTTTAAATCGCGTAAATATGAAACTCTACATCGAATTTAAAAAATACAAATCATGATTTTTTAATTTTTAGATCACGATGCATATTTTTTAAATCGTGCGATATTACAACCGCAAAAACGAAATCGCAACATTGGATTTTAAACTCGCGTGAATACGAATTGCTACATAGGGTTTTAAAAGCTCGTAAATACAAATCGCGATATTGATTTTTTTAATCTCGTAAGTAAGAATCGCAATGTACAATATTTAAATCGCATGAATAAGAATCGCAACGTTCAACTTTTAAATCAGGTAAATACGAAAATCGAGGCTTGATAATGAAATCGCAAATTTTAAAAATGCATAAATACAAAACACGATATTGGATTTTTAAATCTCGTAAACAAGAATCGCAATGTACGATATTTAAATAGCGTAAATAAGAATCGCAATGCGCAACTTTTAAATCAGGTAAATGCGAAAATCGATGAGTGATATTAAAATTGTGTGAATAAAAATTGAGATATTTGGGATTTCTAAAAGGCTTGTTTTTGTTTAGACATAATAAATAAAAATTTACAAGATTAACTGAATGAGCAAATAAATATTTTCACCGCAAATCCACCTTTATTTTCTTTCTTTTTTTGTTTGTTTTCACGCCAGAATATAAGCAGCAGCGACGTCTGAATTACGAAAATACGAGCTATCCCGCTGACGGATAAAAAATACGGAAAATCTTATTTTCTGTGCTTGAAATCGGAGAAAATAGCTTATATAAGTAAAAATGCGGAAGGGTTAGCAGCTAGGACGTAGTTTGAATTTTCTGTTTATCTTTGAAAATCGTAAATAAATATAACTATTTTACTTCAACGACTGAAATTTTTTAAAAAAGCGGGATATTTATATATATAAATAAAAAAAAACTTTTAGAGAATCAGAGTTTTTGATAAAAAGGCTGAAATTCGAGAGACAAAGAAAATCTCATTCCTGTATAAAGGCCAACCAGTTTTATCCCAAGGAAATGATTTTTAGAGAAACTTCAGAGGGAGGAATAAGGACTTCAATAATTTCGGAAAATTAAATTCCTCATAAAATATTTTAACTTGTGCAAAAAAAAATTTCAGCGGAAATTAGCGGGGAAAATCTGAAAAAAAAGCGGAAATCCGCGAAAGAATTTCATCCCTGGGACTACACAGACCACAGTGGTGACGTAAAATATCCTTAGTGGTAGACAGATCATGGGTAAGAGTCTCCCTTGCCATCAGACTAACCTTAGGTTTTCATGGTCTTCATGTAAAGCAAATGCAGGTTAGTTCCATCAAAAAGTCCAACACAAAGACAAACTTCTCCCAATACTTGATCCAGGAGTTCCCTTGTCTTCTGGATTGGGTTCAAAAAACAAAGCTACGGAGTTGAACATTAGCAGTCGTAAACCCGAAAAATTGGGTCAGATGTTAAACGACGGTTATAAAAATAAAATATATTTGTATAAAAAATACTTTTTTTTTAAAAATTTAAACAGAAAATATTTGTTACATTCTTTTTTTAAAAAAAAAAACTTAATCTAAAAAAAAACAAACTGGAAATAAATATTTATTCGAAGATGGAATTCAGTCCACTGATCTTTCTCAAGACAGATTTCAGCCCTCAGAAGTGAATAGCGGCACACATGGAAAATTTGACCACACCAATCGGATTTTATCGAGCTTCCCAGATTTTTGTACCCTGTAGCCATAAATTTCATAATAAATTTTTTCAATCATGCATAATTCTAGCCACTAGAGTTGAAAACATACAAATAAGAAAAACCATAGCGATTCCTATTTTTTTTATCCTGAAAAAATATCAGAATTTTAGGTATCTTATATAATTGAACTTTTCATTCCTTCTTAGGTATTCTAATTTCCTGACATTTCCAGGTAGATTAAATTAACTTTTTCCTATTCCGTAATTATATATCATATGACACACAAATCCATTTTTTAATAAAGGTTTGTTCTTGAGATTAATTTGAAGCAGATTTCATCATATTTTTTAAAAATGCCAAATTTAAATATGCTTACATTAAAAATTTTCAAAAATTAAACTTAATGCAAACCAATGAAATATTGAGGTGCATTAAAATTAAATGTGTTGTTTTGAAAATAAGAGTTTTCAATAATTCTAGTTGATAAAAAAAGATCAATTTAAATATAATTTCAATATTTTACAGGAAATTCTTTAATTCAATTTTTACGGAAAGGCATGCAAAATTATAAATTTTAGGAGTACATATATCCAAGCATATTAAAAAAAAGAAAGAAATACAAAGAATAAAATTTTAAACTTTCATAAATTTAATCAGAAATTCTTCAACGTTTAAAAAATTTGATTTCTTAATCATTCGATTAAGTTTTTTTTTATGTATAAGAATATTCAAATTTAAATAACCTAATATTTTATCATTAAATTTGTTTAAAATTTATAAATTATCAATCGTACAATATTTTCCTTGATAAAATCTTTAAAAACTCTTTTTTTATTTTGTAATAGAAATAATAGTAACAGTTGTAAGGATCCGCTGGCCAAAGGATTTGATTCAATCTAGAAGAACAATGAGGAATAAGATTGAAATTTTAGAACAGGTGTTAATAAAGAGACTGTACAGGACATGAAAAGGTTGCCAAATGAATTTTGGCTATGATCTCATCTAAATTGGAAAAGAATTTGTGGTTAGAATTAATTTTTCAAATTAAATAATTTTTTTTTATTTTTTATTCATGAACATTCATCTTTCATTAACCCTCTACCAACGTAATCAGCTGCTCAAGCATGATGATGCCTGTCTCAATAGATTTAAAGTTCAAGTGCCTACAGTGGTCAAATGGATTTCCTTTTTGGTTTGTGCACCCCCCCCCCCTCTATGGGACATTGAAAATTTAAAGGGAGATGACGAAGAGGGAGACTACTTTTGTCATGATTAAAACATTGATCCAGTTTCATGCTCTTTGAGATTCATGATTAAAACATTGCTCTTTGAGCCCGCTCCAACTTTTGAGACGTTTATCGTTTAATGGTTCTTTTTCGATCGAGTCACTTTGTAATTTTCACATGTAATTGTTCTTTAATCAATATTTCTTTTATTGGCATTTTAATAATTTCCATCAGAAAATTAAACTATAATATAAGAGTTAAAGTCTTAAAGAATTATAACATACAATTCACAATTTAAAAAAATTGTGGATAGTGTTCTACTGAATCAGGATGTGTAGCCAAATCTCTCAACAAAAAATAAGCACCGTTAAAGTACTTTTTAAGAACTCAAAAAATATTTTTAAGCACTATATGCATTAACAAAATGCAAAATGATTTTGAAAGACTTTACATGATCGGGATAAAATAACTAGTTTCTGATAAAGAACTCTTTTCTTGATTATATTAAAGCAAGCAAAAAGAGATCGAGAGATTTTTAGGTTCGATTTCAGAGGGTGGAAAATGAAGCCGGACACTGAGAAATCTCGCAAAATGCAGCAGAGTTGCACATGAGAGTGCAAGAATCTCACCAAACCCAGCTCAGTAGATGCACATGCAAACTCCCATGTATTTCATCAAACATGTAAAATGATTGGTACACCGAAATAGATTGGGGTAGAAAGAATTGGGAAAACAATGAACAGATCAATGTCTTTTAGTATAATTTGTGGTCAAAATTGACATTGTAAAGAATGGTCTCTTTTAGAAATTTAAGCACTTTTTAAAACACCCCATGAAAAACGAAGCGATTTTTAAAAATGCTACGCATCATGTGAATGCGGTTTGATGGTTGTACAAAAAATGATTTCTCAACTTTTACATGTATATTTCATATAAATTTTCCTTTCGATAAAAAGGTGATAAAAAAAAGTCCAGTTGGAAAAGCGTTAGAAAATATTTTGAATGAACAGGGTATCTGCTACATTTCAGATTTTCAAATCTTTGACTTTTCATGACTCTCCGTGAATAATTCCAAGAGTTTTACATAACTTATCGAAGTTACTATTTTCTCCACAAAAACACAGCAATCAATTTAAAAAAAGCATTATAATAACATTTATTGAATAATAGGAATAGCTAAAACTGTTATACCCTGCATCTTCATATTTATTCATTTTAAATTTAAAAAAAAAGAGTAAAGAAAGAGAAAGTAATAAAATAACTGAAAAAAATACACAAAAGCAAATAACAAAATACTGTCAGATATATGTAGTTATTTAAAGCTGTTTTATTTCTTTTTTTAAGTAAGTGTAATATAAAAAGCTTAAACTAGAATTTAAATAGTTAAAATAAATAAAAAAAAACTCTGAAATCACAGAAGTATAAAAGATGATTCGCTCTAGAAATGATGTTCTTTCTTTCATTTTTTTTAAAGAATACTACAATTTTTAAAAAAATAAATAAAAACAATTTATATTTTAATAGAATACGACTGGGAGTGGGGATTTTGTTACAAATTTAGATATTTGGAACATCAGAACACTGTGACATTGGTAGGGGGGGGGGGGAAATTCCANTCATTTATGGGGGGGTAAATTCCATTTAAAAAATTTGGTTTTTCCGCAACCTAAACCCATGACTTTCCATGATTTTTTTAAAAAGAAAAGTTAAAATCATGAAGAATTTTGTTCAATACCGAAATCTATGACTCTTCAGGTGCAACGACACCCGGAATGAAAAATTCTGTTTTCAAAATATTTTAACTATACACAAAATCGTTTATTTATAGCAAAAAGAGAAGGAATATCTCCACTATTCTCTTAAGAGGAAAACCGAAGTAAGTCTTGAAAGCGGGTTTCAAAATCTAAGAGACACACAACAGACCAATGTCTATTAATTGTGACTTGAGAAGAGAAAAAAACAGATCTCCATAGATGTAGTGTTTAATCTGGAAAAAGATATTTCTCTTTTACACTTTACTTTACAAAGAAATTACACAAGTACAAACGGTATTTGTCATTCACAGTTATGGTGATTTATTTAAATATTTTTTTACATTTTCCATTGATTACAAAAATAGCTTTATTTTCATCTTGTGAATTATTCAGTTTTATTTTTTTACCTTAAGTCATCAACAAATTTACAACAAAATGGCCTATTTTAGCAAACATGACAATTAATTATCTGTTATAACAAACATACAATATTAATTTTTCTTACAGCTTTAAAAAAAAAAAGCATTGGAATAAGATAAAAAAAAATTATAATAACAATACTTATTTTCCAGTTTTACACTTTGACTAGAAAATACCAGTTTTTAAACAAGCGAACTAAGTAGATGAAATCGATAAAATGCAACTTTCTAAAAAAACAAGTTTTTAGAACAACTCTCTGTTATTTTTTTAAACCGTCAATAGATTGAAGTTCTGATAATTACATAAATGAAGAGCTCAGAAGTTTTTGTTTCATCAGAAACAAATTTTTCTTTGGAAGTCAAATCTTAAGTAATACAATTTCCAACAAGATAGTTGAAATCATATTTTAAATTTTTTTTGTATACTCTTAAATCATTATTAACAACAAAAAGCAACAAAAATACAAAAAAAAAAGTATAAGCAGCATTGTCAAACTCAAAGTGACTTATAAACAACAAAAATTCTGTTTAATAAAAAAGTGTGCACACATTTATTATTTACGTCTGGCACCATGGATGAAGATGTACATTTTTACCAAAGTAAATAAAGCAAGTTTTTCATACAAAAATTCAAACATATGATGCAAAAAAGAGATAAGCCATAGGCTCTAAAACATTAAAATTGGATTGTAAACACATTTATGTTGAAAAACAAATGACTGAGTTTTGTAACATGGAGCTTCAATTTACTCTAATTGTTAAAAACAAATGTAAATAAAGAGCAAAAAAAAGTTACATTTGTTAGAATGCCAAAGGATAGAGATATTCTATTTTTAAGTAAATAAACGAAATGTTTACTACTTAAAAGTTGAAGCAATTTTTAAGATTTTTCTACTGGCTCAAGTTACAGAACTCGAACAGTAATACTAAAGGAAGAAAAAAAATAGTGCAAAATAAGAAAGGGCTTCCCACTCTTCAGAAATATTACTAATTTCCAATATTTTATTCAAATTAACTGAAAAGTGATTGGACTTTGAGCAAATACATTTAAACATTGACTATTCAACATTTCATTTGGCGACTTTTGAAATTGTAAATTAATAAGTGAATAGTAAAACCAAGCCATAAATAGCATTTTCTGAAACCAACTTAAAAGTCTACATTTGACATAACTTTCATTAAAAAAAAAATGTGGAAATCAAAAAATTATTCTAAAATAATGTTACGGAAATTTTTTAATCACTTAAAATAAAGCAAATAAAATGATAAAATTAGAGAAAAACAACCAATTTTAATTTTTAAAGACTTTTTGTCTGGTATCACTTAGAACCAATACTCACAATAGCATAATGATGCTTATCTCTCTCTATACCTTTCAAGAAACTGAAGAGATTTTATGCAAGATCTCGCTTTCATTTATTCTATTTTTTTTATTTAGATACTAAATCCTTTACTTTTTGCTAAAGATTTAAAAAAAATTATATTCAGAAAAAATACTGAGAAAAAAATTTGTGTATAATTTTTCTTTTTTTAGTATAGCAATATTGTAAGCACAAATAAAATCCCTGCCAAACTTAGGCAAAGTAACTAATCTTAATAATTAATTTATAGTATATTTAAAAACATCTAAGCAATTTAAAAATTTTAAACTGGAAAAATGAACTTGGCTATTACAACACCAATAATAATAAAAAAGTCAGATTATGACAGAAATTTCTACACATATTAAGTTTCAAAATTTCCTGAAAAGTTTCAAGTATTTAGATAGCTGCAATTTCAAGCTTCGGGGTTGCCACTCAAATATCGAAAAAAAAATTTCCCCGTGTTTTCCCTGTACATATTATACACAACATATTGAGAAGTGTGCAATCACTTGTGTGTGAGTTATATTGGGCTAACTATACTAGTTTTATTTTATTGCTGGAAAACAGCTCAACATACTTAAAACAAATAATGCCATATAGTAAATGAAATAGTTCAGTACACTTGAAATATCATCCTTAAATATGCCATAACTTTAGAGTGGTCACCATTTTTCAAAAGAGGAAAATAAGAATTAAAATTCCCAGTTTGTAAGAAAAAACTCAAATTTCCCCTATTATTAAAATTCCCTGTATTTTCCAGGTTTTCCCTGTGGAGTGGCAACCCCGTTAGAGTACATTTAAAAACATCTAAATAATTTAAAACGGGAAAAACGATTAGCTATTGCAGCGCCAACAAAAAAACAAAAGCCAAATTGGCTGAAAAATTTCTACGTACATTAAGTTTCAATATTTCTTGGAAGCATTTAAAGATAGCTGCAGTTTCATGATAAGTCAAATGTTTTCAGTGAATGCCAAAATGTTAATGGTTTTACCACACATCCAAACAGCAACAATGAAAATACTCTGATATAACAAGCATTTCATAACAAAAATAGGGGGAATCAAAAAAAAGAGAAGGAAAAAAGAAACATAAGAATTGTTTGATGTTTAAAAAAAAAGAAGAGAGTCCTAGTTTGAGCCTGAAGATCAATAATCCTCTCCTCGACTAATGACCTCTTTGCAGGTGGGGCGAAGCAATATTGTGTGCTCAAACTGAGCGGTGTAGGAGCCTTTAATATCACTCAGGGGTGGGTAAGGATCCACGATACCTTTGTCACACAAGTCTTTCAGAGCCATCAGGTACTTTGTTTGGCCCAGACGATCAAGCCACCGACGACAAAATGCCAAAGTTCCAAAATTTTGATTTACGACATTCAAAAGTTGTTTAGATCGTGCTAACCTGAAATATAAACTTGTTACTTAGGACTGAAAATTTAATGTTTTATCATAGAGTAATGTGTACAAAGTCTAATAATTAATATGGTTCATTTAAAAAAATAAAAAATAAAAAAAGAGCTTCAAGACAAAAATGTAACATCTTTAACCATCTCTCTCAAACATTTGCAATTTCTAATAAATAATATAGAGTTTACTTATTGCAAAGAGATATTATCCAGTAAATTTATTTTTTTTTGTTGAATAAATGATAATCATTTAAAATATTTACGATCAATTTTCTAACTATTATCCTTAAAATATATTACAGTTTGCTTTTCCTAGCCATTAAAAATAAGGAATATATTTATTATTTTATACAATTAATTTTATTAACTATTTGTATTTTAGTCAACTTCCCAGATTTCTCCGATTCTTCCACTAGAGATGAGGTGGGCTCAACTTGAGCCTGCCGCAAACTAAAATTTTTAAACAAAATTTAAAAAAAATTCTTTTTTCTTTCTTAAATTAAAAAATAAGTTTTTTAAATTCTAGATAATAGTAATTTTTCAGTAAATTGTCAATAAAATTTGAGCTTAGTTTACTAATTTTACCCTAGCTATGAAACTATCGAACGGGTTCCCCTCTAAAAAAATCTTAAGACTGAACTTACTTTTTGACCAATTAACATGATCTAACGTTGTTCATCAGAATTTTCAGTAAATTCTAGCTCACTGACGCCAAAATGTACATTTCCATAATAATGTCGTCCCACAGTGGACAGATCGTTAAGACACGGTTCCTAGCAGATCACCGAAGTCAAGCATCACTGGTTACGGTCAGTGTGCGGGTGGGTGACCACTTGGATCAGTCTGCCAAGGGACCGAGGGTGTGCGGTCTTGGTCCTCGTTAAATTGTTCTACCGTAAAGTGCTCAACTTCGCGTGCAGGTCGTCGTGCTACCGAAGCGGGGGTGGCATCCCCTCTGCAGATTATCAAAATTGTGATGGCATGTCTTCGGATCATCCTCAGGGATGTTTCCCAGATCGTCGCCAATAGCCCATTGTGCAGCTCTAGTGCGACGTAAATGAACAACATAATCATGTCATAAATATTAAATCAATGATTTGATTTTTTTTCTTCATTTTGCTAATTTATTTTTTCACAGCAAACAAGATAAAAGTAATAATTAACGTAGTAGACCTTTTAGCACCAATCATTGGATAAATAAACCACTTATTTTTTCATGAAGCCATTTATAAGTCTATTTTATCTTTGCTTCATCAATTTCCAATCTCCATTATTATTATTTTTCAAAAAAAAAAAAATTTTAACTTTGGTTAGCATTTCAAAAGGAATGGGGAGAGGAAAATGAAAACTCAAATAAAATTAGATATAACAATACTACAAATTCTGTTGAAGCAAGCAAGCAATAAAGTTTAATCAATCCCAATCTTTCATTGCAGTGCGTCAGCATTACTGGATCACTTTGCAATAATAATGAAAAATAAAATTTTTTCATTAAAATGTAATATTTGTAAAAAATTAACATTTTTAAGGCAAAAATGGCATTTTAATTTAAAGGAGTGCACTAAAGACTATCGGTGATTTACTTTTGAAGTTGAAAGCTACAGAAAAAAAAAATTATTTAGACTAAGCATCTCAAACCCTCTTAAACCTAGTTAATTTTCATGATATAAAATTAAATGCTAACTTAAACAAAAAAAACAATTATTTGTTCTTACACATAATTATATCAGTAGGGATAATATTTGTTGACGCTAAGATTTATTCATCTATTCCTGACACAAGTGGCATTTCCACACCAAGAAAATGACACTGACTAAAATTAAAATCATTTGCGCAGAAGTTGTGTACCATCGATGATATTTAGAGGTCGATGAACGTAACCCCCTAGAATGACCAACCTCCATCAACAACCATTTTACTATGAATCAAAGAGTGGTTGCTTCTGCGAGGCTTCACGGTACTTTAAAAGGCTGACACCTTCAAAGTTATTACATTTTGACATTTCTTTGAAAACATTATAAGAGAAATAATGAATATTTACCTTAACGGCACATGACCAGTGTCAAAATTTTTCATATAATGAGATACTTCCATATCATCATGAACATAACCTTTGCCAGTACTTCCAAAAGTTTCTATTGCATAAAACTCACCTTCCTACAAAATATACAATAATAAAATTAATAAATGATTACCAAATTAACATTATCGGACCTTCACTTTTATTTATCATCAGAAATTTGGATTTTTGAGGTTATTTGTAACATTCTAACAAACAAATTAAAAACAATAAACTATTACTATTACAGACATGCAATTGCTGGAAAAAATAGTTATCTGAAATTTTTTTGTACTTAATTATCTATCTTTTTATGTATATAGAAAATAATAAAAGAGTTATTCTATGCTCAAATGTAACTTTTATAAAACTTAGATAGAAAGAAAATATTTTTTTTGTCTAATAAGTTTTTTTTCCTCATCAACACAAAAAGGAATATATACATTTGAGAAAATTACATATTCCTTTTTCTTTACAAGTCATTAGCACTTCTAAATAAATAAATATCAAGAGTATGTACAATGAAATCACAGAAATCGGAGGCAACAAAAAGGGATTAATCAAATATAAGTTTTGAGATTCATATGCTGAAATAAATAATATAGTTAAAAATATTGAGACTTAAAAGAAAAAATACGGAAATCAATAGTGGTAACTGCAGAAAAATTTATTTATAAAGTTACAGAATTAACACGTCAAGTAGTGAAGGCTCAATTTGAAGTTTTAATTTCTCCAATGATAACATTATCGGGATTTTCAAAACTTGCGTGGAAATAAACAACAAAATATTCCAAAAAAAGGCTGATCGAAAGATGGAATGGATTTTGAGTAAATGGAGCATGTCAAAAAGTAATTATTCAAAGGCGTGATTATAATTTTATGTGTTTTTTCATAATATCAGAATTTTAAAAACCAAGGAAAAATCAATTAATTGTAAAAGAAAAAAGAATGAAGCATGGATTTACTGAGTCATGGGTGTTGAAAAGTGATTGCTGAAATGCACAATTCAAAATTTCTATGTCATAATATTACATTAAAAAATAATTTGATATACTCGTACACTGTTAGAAAATTCTCAGAAAAAAATGGTTTAATAACAATTTATCTGATTGTTATTGTATCATATTCAAACAAAACAGTCATATAACTATAAATAAGATGCTAATCAAACTGCTAACTACGAAAAAAACCTTTAATCAGCTGCTTTTGATTATACGGTTGAACAAACAGAATTTTATCGCATCAACTAAGCACGCCTAGTGAAGCCACATAGTTCTTTGCAACTACATAGATATAGCTGAGAAGGATAATCTGCCAGTCTCGTGACCCACAGAACTGGGGTTCGAGTCCCAGTGTTGACACCACAATACTTTTTCTATTCCCTTAAATACTCGAAGAGTTTCCAATATCTTGAACTCTCTAATTTGTGTTCCGCTCTCTCCACTACCCATTACCTAACAAAAGACTAAGCTCCTATGTCCAGATTCTTTTTTTACGGTTTTGAAACCATGCTAGCTGTAAATGGTTTAAAAAAAATTTATGGTTTTGTGTGCATGTTTTAAAACTATACTAGTTGCAAACGGTTTCAAAACCGTTAATTTAAATGTTTCTTCCCATAACCTTTACAGTTAATCAGATGAATACTGATAGTTATTTTACCATAATTTTAGAATGAAAATTCTTAAGTTTCTTGCTCTCAAAGTTAATTTGAAGTTGCATTTTTATCTAACTGATGTGCGTAAAAAAAAAGGCAAGCACAAGAATGAGAACTTAGGAAAAAAAAGGGGGATCTGCTAAGAAGTCTCGCTAACAACCAGGACATTTAAATTTCAAATTAAAGGAACTCTGAGAAAATTTTGTCGGAATATAAATTATTAATTTGCGAATCAACGGTCTTGAGAATGGCGAATTAGCGGAAAAATTGCAGGTCTGTAGTAACAGTATAATACTAAAATTAAATAAGAAATAATATGAAATGATGTACAATAAGAACGATGAATAACTATTATAAAATGATGTACAATAAGAACGACGAATAACAATTAAGAAATGATGTTGCAAAATAGAGAAGAATAGAAACATTGAATAGGGCAAGATACTTTTCTAAAAATATCTATGTGTGTTTACATTTTGCTTAATAGGGACTCTTTTAATATGAAATTCTACTAGTATGTTTATGCATGTTTATACACAAGTATGTAAATATTTATGCAGAGTCAGTTGAAATTCAGATAATATAACTTGTAAAATTTTGATTACCTCCATCTTGGTTGCTTCTCCACCTTTGACAATAGGTACTGTTTTACCAGCATGTATTCGATACTGCCCAATCAAGTGACCATTCAAATTCCGAATAGATTTAACTGTAAAATAAAATATAACATTAGTAAAGCCGAAAATAGGAGAAAACATTTTTTTTCGAATTGCAACACATTTCATTCTTGTCTCAAGAATGAAATCAACTTAACCACAAATTATGAGATTTTACGCTTTTGTTTAATAACACAACACCAGGGTTCTTACTCAAAAAGGAGAAAATTTTTTTAACAAAAAAAAAAAAAAAATTTACAAAGTTTATATTCAATAAAAATGTAAATTAAAATTATAAATGGATGGTTGATCATGCAACAGATGGCGCTAGGGATTAAAACTGTCATGAGATTTCCGGGTTACCACTTCGATTGATTTAACGCCAAAGCTTGAAAAGTGAATTCGGAAGACTCCGCAAGCATGCTATGATGCTATAAATTAAAATAACAAAAGGCAATATTTTACACCAATGTAACCAATAAGGGATAACGCTCAAAACATGGCAAACATTACACTTTATTTATGCTGTGACATTAATTATCTTAAATTTGTTTTAGGCTCAGGATCTGTTAAAACTTAAAAAAATACAGAAACCTCGTATGAATGGTAAAATTATTGGTAAATTTAAACACAAATCACATTAAAAAAACTTCCTAGGATATTAAGCCTATTCACACATCGTCTCGTAAGCAAAACACAGGCGGAGGGATACATTCAGCCAACCATTCATAAAATCGCAACTCTAAGAAAGCCTTAATAAAGTATTTTCATTAAAAAAAATAATAAATAAATAAATAAATCAGATGATTTAAATAATGTCAACTCTAATAAAAACACAATATTTAATTCTAAGCTATAAAATAAACTTTCCTAAAATACAAAACAAAGTTGCAAAAAGATATAAATTAAAAGTAGAACTTATTAATTAATAAAATAAAAGAACTTACAACAACTAAATTAATACAAAATAATAAAATTTAATAAATTTTGTAATAAATATTACAAAAAAATTAAACTAAAAAACAAAAAAATTATATAAATCATCTGTATTTAATTGAAATTAAATCATATTTAATCGACTAATGAATGTTTTTTAAGAATATTAGGAGAGAAGTCCAGGGGAATTTATCAGTGTTTTTCCGTATAACCTCTAATTTTTTAGGAGCAACAAAATTTCAGTAGATTTTTAGGGGTTGTACATATTTTTAGAATTTTAGGGGGAATGCAACTCCTGTATTTCTCTTTAAAAAAAAAAAAGAGATCTCAATTAGTATCTTCAGTTAGGGATTAAATAAGGAAGATTTGTTACCTGGGTATGTTTTTCCATTTAGTTCTACTTCATAAGATTCCATTACTTCTTGAATAGCTTCACCAATATCGCACAGCCTTACATCAATTCCCGCTTCCTAATAAATGAAAAAAAAAATATTATTTTACTTTACATCTATGAATTATTAGAATCTTATGGTCCAGGATATCAAAAATAAGGAGAGAAAAAAACCAATAGCATTTGAAAACATGATAAAAAGATAACAATAAAATATAATGAATTAAAAGAAATTAACAAAATTGAAGATAAAAGAATAAAATAACATTTCGAGACTGCTAAAAGCTATCAACAAACATCTTCAAAAATGTATGTGATGGAACATCTCAGTTCGCGAAACAAACAGAAATCAATATTTTTTGAGGTATGGTATTTGATTTATTCGTATAACAAAGCTATTATACCTTGCATGCTAAATAGCAACACTGTAACTTTTTAGATGTCATATCTCAATAAATAAATCTTTTTTTTGCATGCAGGAGGGCAAGTTTTTGACATATTTTATGACGAAAAATTTTGGTGTAGAAATTAATTATTGGCTATTACGCATATGAAATAATCAGAAATAAAAGTACTTATAAATTTACAAGTGAATAAGTGGACAGATTTCATACCACTGCATTTAAAAGGGTTAACAGTACGTAATTTTACACAATTCTAAGCTGCATTAGATATAATAGAGTATAAATAAAAAGGTAAATGGTCACACAAAACATAAAAACAGTATATTACCTTAATACCAGTATTAGTTGCTTCTCTAACAGCTTCAAGAAGTTTGTCATATTTGGGATTATAGGTAAGAGTGAAGGCACAATCAATTATACGTCCTAAGAAAAAAATAAATGATGCACAAATTATGAAATGAGCATAAAAAATAAATTAAAAGTGAACATTTTTTTAAATTTAATTTTTTCACATGCAATTATGAGGAGTCAGAGAATATTCATTGTTACTTAAGGTAATAGAGAGGAGAAGGAAAAAAAAAGGAAGGGCTGGAATAGAATGCAGATTGCAACCTAAAAAAAAAAAAAAAAGACTGGACCAAAGAAAAAATATTTGGTACAATATATATATATGCATACCAGAGTACTCAAAAATACCATTTTTTATTTTAGAACCACTGTTTAATCAGAAAGTTTAAACAATTTCAAGTGTGATTTTATTAATGGAGCATCAAACAAATCAAAATGGTTTGAGATCCATATGCAGGAAATTTTTTTATAGCATTAAAAAAACTGTATTAATTAGTTAATAATCTCTCATACCAATATTTATTTAAAATTTGAAATCAAGTTCAAAACTTTCTAAATAAAATTTTAAAATATGGTCTTTATAATCTAGAAACTAACTCATTGCACATGCACTTGTAAATGATCTCTCAATTCAGAATTTAAAAATTCTATATACAGTGAAACCTCTCAGGAGCTGTCTGTTCCACAATAAAATGGTCCTTAATAGAGGTTAATCGTTCTTAGGCTTTACTTCTAGTGATTTATGTTATTAGGGGTACAAGATTTCTCGCAAACTATTTTAATTTTAGTCAGTGCTGTTTTCTTGTTGCGGAAATGCCACTTCTGTTGAGGTCATGCAAACTTGACAGCAGAATAAAACTTAGCATCAATAAAAATTATCCTTACGAATTTAATGTGTAAAATCAAATTTACCAATTATGAATGACAGAACAATTTTAAATAAATAAATATTGCTTTTGTTTAAGTTTGCATTTGATTTTATATCAGAATAATTTGTGCGACTCCACAGATTTAACGTACATCAGTCGCCATTTACTACACGGAGAGTCTCCAGCCACTGGGGAAACGAACTCTTGGACATAGGCCCAGTGCCCTACCAACCAGGCTATCACGGCCTTAACTATATACATTTGTAGACACCTAAGTATCTTTTTGTTTAAACAATCAACCTTTATAAAGATTATAACACGTGGAAAATCTGATAACCTCTGTATGGAGCACATTGGTCAATACTAATGGTGTGACAGTAATAGGGAATCGAGAATTGTGTTTTATGTTTCGTATCTCGGTAACTGTCAATTTTTGAGCTTTTGTGTCAATGAGAACTTTTGATCAGAATGTTTTGATCAACAATGTATTGAATTTTCAGCCAATTTGGCAAAGATATCCTTAAGAAGAAAGGCTTACCGTTAACATGGGTTCCAAAATCTATTTTGCAAACATCATCATAGGTCAAGACGGTGGTGTCCCCAGCATTAGGAGTGTAGTGAGCAGCACAGTTGTTGAGAGAGCAACCCGTGGGAAAGGCTAATCCAGACTGAAGGCCATTCTCATCTATTAAAGCTCTAGCTGTTTTCTCTAACTCCTCACTGTAAGGTACATTTAATTGTTTGTATAAAAATTCTAGTTACATTTTTATCATCAGTAAAGTTTATAATTTATTTCTAATTTGACATTTTCTCCAGATATTTTAAGAATGAAGAAAAGACATCAAAAAATTTTGCATCTTTAAAATCCATACTTTTTAGGACAACTTGCATGCTTACAAGTCAGTAGAGCTGTTTTATGAATAATGGGCAAAGTATAACAATCGTAAAACAAATTATTTATCAAAATGACAAACAAAAAAAAAGAAGAAAGAAATGCTAAACATCATTTTCTGAAGTTTTTTGTCGATAAAAAATCTCTTTAATCTGATTATAAACAAGTTCAGCAATGAATAACATGAAATCAATCAGCCACTTGCAAATAAAATAAAATACTTTTCGTTACAGATTAAGTCTGCTAATCTTGAATATTCTTTTGTAGTTTAAATTTAGTATTATTATGTTAATAAAATTTGCTTACTCACTGAGAACACTGCAGCAGTGTTCATAGACATTTTTACAATGCCTAAAACAATAAACTAATGTTAACAAGACAGATGTTTTTTAATTTTTTTTAAAATACAGAGACATAGTTCTTTTAGATGAAAGTAAATATTTAAATTAAGATTGCCCTTTCACAATCTTTAAAGTGGCAAATAGTTTAAAATTTTATTAAGTACATACAGATGATATGTGCAATAAATTCAATGAATTTTGATGAGAAATTATTCATCATAAGGCAGGAATTGATTCAGCGGGTCTGTTCAGGGCAAATTTTCTAAAAAGTATATCAAATTTTTCAGCGGTACTTTCACAAATTTAACTTAAGGAAATACGGTAGTTTCACAAAATACTTTTAAAAAAGCAAGTTCCATGAGTCCCCCCCCCCTCTGCTTCCTAAAATTTTGTTGTTGTAGTTTTGTTGACCCAGTCGAAAATGTTCTCATAATAACTAATCATAAATGATTTTCATGTGTAGTGACAATTTTTGAAAATATTTTATATTACCATATTTTTCTGTTGATTTTTTAATATAAATTTAAATTTTCACAAAATAGGTACCTTTTAAAAAAACCTAGACAGACTCTTGAAGTGAACATTTTTGCAAAACCTTGTTGAAAACTACTTTTCTACATAAGTATGCTAAAAACCAAGAAAATCCAGGAACAAAATAATTTTTAAGCAAATACGATATATAATAATAAATTTTTATTCGTTACATTTTAAGTTTCAAGCATATTCTATATCTTTTAGCAGTAAGAAAAATATTAGGGCCTATTAAAATAAAAAATTTACAATAAAATAATAGTAACGTTAGTGAACTTGACCATTTAATTAAAAAAAAGACACATAATCAAGACAATTGTAAAGGCAATACAATATTATGAAAAATGAACAGAGTTAAAGCTTTGAGAAATTAGGATATAAATGAACCCAAAGAGTTAGATATAAAGTAAGAAAAGACTTATGAAAATTCCAAATAATAAATTCAAGGCTAAGAACAAAAAGTTTGGAAAAGAAAAAGAAAAAAAACATTGGAAGTCAAAGTTCATAAAAGATCACTGAAAAGAAACTGATATATAATTTTATCTACTTAACTCGAAAAAAAAATGCTTTTATTTAATTAAAAAAGGCATTGTTATTTTCAATCACTCACCATATTTCTATCATAGTCATTCCTGGTTTAATAAATTTCCTAATATATTGTCTAGTCTGAAAGAAAAAAAAGAAAGTCTTAGTTTGAAATACGCCAAGCATGATCACCACACATTTTTATAATATAAAATAAAAGCTGGATTATACTTAGTAAGGATAGTAATTTAATACTTTTTTAAAAATGTTTCTGATAAACTTTATCTCTTTTTACGTTTTATGGATATTCCCCCCCCCCCAAAAAAAATATTAGGTATTTTTAGCATTAAACCTTCGTATCAAAATTGACTTAACTTGTTGCATAATGTACGAAATATTTAACACATAGGGAATTTTCATATCATCAAAATAGAAATTTCTTGTCATGATTAACCTTAAATGAGCTTGAAATGTTACGCATTATGTTTACTTATAAATTTGAATATTAATATGCATTTAATTCATCAAAGATAGTTAGTTAAAAGATCTTTAATTAATTAAACAAGGGAGTTTTGAATAAAAATAAACTCAAAATTTTAGAACAAAACAGTTTCAAACTGATTTTTATAAATGAGGCAAGCAAGCAAGGAAAAGTTCTATTTCAATTGGGATTTCTTTAGGAAGCTTACTCAATGTTAGGGAATTTTTAGAAATCATACCTGCCAACATTGGAGAAATTAAAGAAATGAGATTTTACTAACAACATTTTTCGGGCTACAGATACATCATGCATAATCGAGCATTGTGCATCAAGCATCGGAAGTTTTGTTACATCATGCAAGTCAAAAAGAGAAATTCAAAATTTTAAATAATAAAAGCACTTACATTTAGCAGAGTAAAAAATATGTCTATAATTTTTTTAATCGTTATTTATAATTACTTAAACTATAAACACTCAACATACTGCAGTACTGGAAATAGTACTATCAGTTGAGGAATAAGAGAAGTATTTTTGCCATTAGTGGATGTTTTACAGGATTGCCACGCAGATCTAGAAAAAGTATTCTTTGTGTTTTCCCTGTACATATTATACACAATATATTAAGGGGAAAAAACAATTACTGTGCTCTTGTGTGAGTTTTTTTGGGCTAACTATATTTATTAGTTTTAATTGCTGAGTAAACAGCTGAGCATACTTAAATAATGTTATAGTATATGAAATAGTTTAGTAAAACTTAAATATTATAGTTAAATATCCCATAGATATCCCGCTTTGAGTGGTCACAATTTTATAAAAGACCGAAATAAGAAACAAAATTCCCAGTATTTTCCCAGTTTGTAAAGAAAAAATCAAAATTCCCTGTATTTTCCCTGTTATTTAATGTGATTTTTAAATTCCCTGTATTTTCCAGGTTTTCCCTGTGGAGTGAGAACCCTGTTTTATCACCCCAAACATTTTTTTTAATTTAATTTCTTCAACAAATACGGAAAAATTTGAAAATTTGGGAGACAGACGTAAAATACAGTAGTCTTCATTGAGAAACAGGAGACTTGGAAAGTATGAAAAATGCACAAAAAACGAAGAGAATTTTTAATAAACCAGCAGACTAAAAACTGGCAAAATGCAGTAGAGTTGGCAGCTATGATACAGTAGTGTTCATTAAAAAACAGGAAGCTTGGCAAGTATGAAAAATGTACAAAAACCAAAAGAATTTTTAATAAACCAGCAAATGAGGAGAAACTGGCAAAATGCAGTAAAGTTGGCAGCTATGATACCTAATGATTAAAAAGAATACCTGTCTATGAGCTTCAGCTGCTATTCTGATCTCTTTGTATATATCTTGTTCCATCTGTTCAATAGCTTTCTTCTCTTCTGAAGTAAATCTGTCCTTACCAGTGCGTCTGAAAAGGGAATAAATTGCTAAAAAAAACTGATTTATAGCTGCCACACATACTTTTTTGATTTACATGTGAAACTTTCTATTTATAAAAACATATTTCACTTTTAAACAGTAACAAAGACACCATTAAAAAATAACAAGGTCTTATATAGTCTATGGCAAAATTCATAGAAGAATAAAATAGCAAAATGACATAAATTTTGTGTTGTGTGAGTGTACTGTCATTAACAGGGCTCAGAAAATTTGAAAAAGATTGGTAGCTAGTAAAAATATTAGCACCTCGCACGTTTCGAGTTTTTTTCTTTCCAAACTCAAAATATTCTTTAATACATTCATCCATGTCATAATCAAATACTTGCATTATTACAACGAAATATTTACATACACATTACGAAATGAAAGAAATACTTATAACATAAAATATGGAACTTTTTAAAAGAAATATGAGAACCTAGATTTAACGAATCGCCTGGGACCGACAAATCTGCTTGCTAAATAGAAGCAATTCGTTAAATTGAACATCAATTTTTTGTAAAGAGAATGGTATAAAGATATGAATGCAAAAATACCTTCAGATATACCGATATGAAAAAAAGTAATTATTGTTTACTACGAGCTTAAAAATCATAAGCTATATGTTACAAAGTCAAGTTTAAAATTATCTTAATTCTTTAACGCTACTTCCTTTCAAAACTTAATGCATACATATAATTACACACTTGGATTAGGGTGTGAAATATTCAAAATTTCAAGTGCAAAAAATTCAATGTTTTAATTTTATATGTGATTTTCTTTTTTAGCGATAGTTGTTCGTTGAATCAAAGTTGCAAAATTTGATTAAATGAAAGCATTTTAGCATCCTCTTTGTTGGGACAGAAAAAATATACGTTAAATTGGATAATTCGTTAAATCAAAATCTCCTCTGCTTTAGTATAATTTTGTGCCAAATGCTCTAAATGAAATTCTTTCTAGTTCCATTCTCTTTGTTCGCCTACTTGGTTTATAAAACCTGACAGTCCCTTAATAGAGCTGAGGTGTAGTTCTTTAGGATGGAGAGGGTTCTCTTAAAAGAAGCAACATTTTTTAAGAACCACCAATGCAATGTTATAAAAAGAAAATAACAGATAGTCAACAACTGTGTAATGATCATAATACCAATACTTTGCATACATAATGAATGTTTTGAATCATTTAAATAGATCCAGTAAATTAATTTGATGCCTTTAAATCTTTTTAAATAAAGAAAAACCTATTTAAATTTCATTACAGCTTGGTGGTCACTCACACCAGGGTTGACACTCAAATCTGGAGGGGAAAAATCCCTGTTTTTTTCTTGTACATATTATACAGAATACATTAAGAGGAATCACACAATCACTGTGTGTGTCCTTGAATAACCTATATTAGTCTAGTTAAACTAGTTTTAATTGCTAGAAAAACTTAATTTTTTTTTTGTAAATAAATAATTGATCAATTTATATTTATTCATAAAATTAATTAATAGAATATTATGTAAATAAAAATTAATTTCTAGCAATTTTGTAAATAAAATATTATGAATTTAAGAATTGTTTAAGTTTACTTAATGCATAACACATTAAAAGTTATACATTACTAAGTTGTGTAATTTAAAAAATGTCAATTGAAATTATTAAAAATGTGAGTGATTCCAAAATAATAAACTGTGTTGAGCAGTATAGGCTAAATTCCAAATATTTGTATGCTGCATCTCTAATTTAGTAGCAGCAATTGTTGAGCATAATCTTGTATCTATTTAAAAACTTCTAGAAAAGGTTTTCAGCATTTTTTGCAATAACAGAACCCTATTTGCATAAATTCACAAAAGCAGGACCTTGGTGGAAAGAATGTGACTTAATGCTTATTTTATATTCCCAAATTATGAACAGTTTTTTCACAATTTTACAAAAACAGGACCTTTCACAAAATGTCTGGACAGAACCCTGGTATAGCTGAAATATCTTTAACTATCCCATAGATAGTGCTTTGAGTGGTCACCACTTTCGAAAGACCAAAGTAGAAATAAAATCCCCTGTTTGCATTTTTCCAGTTTGTAAGGAAAAATTCAAAATTCCCAGCACTATACCTATTTCAGATGATTTTTTTAATTCCCTGTATTTCACAGGTGGCAACCATGACAGTCATCAAACAAGAGTAAACAGTGTATGTTAACTCAGATTTTAGCAGCAATCAAAGCAAGGGAGAAATTTTGGCTTTTCTTTATGTCAGTGAACTTGTGTTTGGGTACCTCTGACAAGGATGAGAAAGTTTTACTTCCTTGTTTTTGGCACACTCCCAACTTCTCTTTAAAAGAAAAATAAACAAGAAAGCCAGGTTCTTGCATCTTAATAAAATAAAAAAAGAAAGGATAAGTCAATGGTTTTTAAAATAATTACCCATCAGCTCCAGTACTGTATTGTTCTTCTTGTCCAACTGGGAAGTTACCATCTGGATATAGATTTTTAATAGGGATGGACGGTGGGTCAGTTTGCTTTACTCCTCCACTACCTGCAGAAGAAAAAAAAAATTGAAATTATTGTGAAAAGAAAATCAATCGGCTTATATGAAAATATAACTTAAACATGCTTAATGGATTTCCACTCACAAGGAAAAAATTCAGTAGTATTTGTGAGAGTACTTGTAATTGATAAATTATATTTTATTTAATACTCATTTCAATGAATGGAATCAAATTATTAGTATATTTTTCTTGGAGTAAACCCATTTAAATGAAAATCCATAATTCCACATATTGATATTCTTTCTTTAATTTCTAATGCATTCACGCAAACATTGAAAACCATTGTCTGATTACTGCTTTTTTTATTAGAATTTTTTTAGAAAAAAAAAGAAGCCATAATAAATTTCTACTGCCAAAGCACATATTTTAAAGCTATGAAAGGAGAATTTGGCAACAATCAATAGCTATTACTAGCCAAATCTTGATTCTTTACTACTATTTTAGCAACCAATTTTGCTAAAATGAATCTCCTGAAATATATTAATTTCCTATTCAGATACAGAAATAATAAAAATATAAAAAAAATTTAATAGTCATCCTTTGATTAAATTTTCAGTAATAAGGACTTTTTAAATTTGAATACTAATAATTTTTCCTTTCCTGAAATATGACAAACATCAATTGCTCAGATCAAAACAGTAGAAAAGAAGGGAGAAAAACTTATTATCAAAAACCTGGAATGGTTTAAATTTTGAGAATTCAGATTGATACAAATCTAAATACTCTAATCATTCAAATTCAAAACACAGATCTTGTAAGAAATGTGCTTTTTAGATTTTACTTGATTTTAACATGCATCCTTGCCAGTATAAAATCTACAAACATCTATTAACAATATCTTTAATACAAGTACGATGTGAAGGAAGAGTTTTCTCGGAGTTATAATTTGTTAAAATTTGACTTAGGTCGAAATTAACAAGCGAAAATATCGAACCATTAATCATACTAAACTCGGTCAACTCAGAAATCATAATTGAAGAGCTTAGTGAACCTAACTGACTTAGAGATGAGGTGTTTGCTTGCGTCATAGTTATTTTTTTAAATATAAATAAAAATAATACTTTTTTAATTAATAGTTACAAACCGTTTTCCTTAACACTCCTCTGAGCCCAGCACCAAGTTTCATCTGGTACTCAGGTAATAGAACTACAGTAGGGAACCGATTATCCGGAACGATCGGGACCATCGCTATTCCCGATAACTGATTTTTCCGGTTTTCTGAATCGCAACAAAAAGTAGTTTTCTTTATTGTTAAACCCAACTAAAGAAAAAAAATATTTGGAAAGAATCTTAAAAAGAAAAAACGATGAAGTAATACAGTAATGATTATTTCTAAAATGATGGTATGGTAAACATCTTTCAAAAAAGAAAGAAAAATCCTAAAATCTTATGAAGAAAAAAAATTCTTTTTTTTAAAAATGGCGGGAAAATTTATCGAATTTCGTTCCGGTTTTTTGGTTTTCCGATTTCTGGATAACGGATTCTGTACTGTATATTATAAATATACCAAAAAAAAAGTCTACCTTTGTTTTTCTTCTTCCTTTTCTTTTTGCTGGCTTCAACATTTTCTCCTTTTCCATCATCTTCAACTATGTGGAAAGTAATATCTTTGAAATGATTATGATGATACAACAAAATGTATATCCTTCACAAAATAGCAAATAAAACATAGTATGTATAAGCCAGAACATTGTGTTCCTTATGTAAGTATTTAAATTTGCTAAAGGTCACTGAATTTAATTTGTAGTTAAACCAACTTGTAGCAATATGCTTAAGATAATATTTATATAACATACAATAAGAACTTGTTAATAAGCTAATAAAAAATATACATCAAGAAATGACTTTCTAATTGGTATCAACAAAAATGAAAGAAATACACATAATAATTTTTACTAAAGCCAATACAGTTTTTAATTAAATAGAGTAAGAAACCACCATTAATGCTAATTATGTCATAATTGTGACTTCAAATAAAATTGCTTGTGCAAACAAATTATGACATTTAAGAAGTGCATTGATAAAAGGTTAGAAGAAAAAAAAGACATTTAACAAATTTGATTGAAAGAAATCTTACTTTATAATAGCGAAAGTCAACAAAAAATATTTTTAAAAAAATTAAATTTAGTTTATTTTCTTTAGCGCTTAGATTTCAGAGTAAATAAAAATTTCTGTTAATATTGTGACATTAATTTCATAAAATTTAATAGGAAGCAACAAAAATACATGAGCTCTAAGTTACAGAAATTGAAATATCTAAATTTTTTAAAAATTCCATCTCAAAATGTTTCTAAATATACCAAGCACAATTAGAAAGTTTTCATTATTTATATGAAAATATATAAACAAATTCTAACAATAGAATAATTCAAACATACCATCTGCATCTCTGTTATTAGCTTCTCCGTCAATAACTTGATGTTGCAACTTTTGAGTAACTATTTCAACATCTTCAGAAGTATCATTAACACTATCTTGAGGGGCAGCAGCTAGAAACATAAATAAGAATTTTTTTTCAAAATACAAATAATTGCATTAAATATCTCTTGCACATTTTGAAATAATAATTTAGTCAGATAAAATTAAAATTCTCAACAAGAAGATACAACTGTTAGCCTTCCGATTTTTTTAAAAAGTTTTTCACGTCTCTACTTGCAATTGTTGTCAAAATTTAACAATTTTCTTGGGGCAGATAAGGAAATCTTTCCAGAAATACTACAAACCATAAAATAAAAAAATAATTCTTAATAAACTGCATTAAATAGATTACTTTTGACAATATTTTTTTTCTCTTTTCTTACAGATGAAATTAAAAAAAGGAAAAAATTTTACAGTTGATTTTGAGAATTTAAGCAGACTTTATAACATTAAATGGGGAGAATTCCCCATCGCGACTTGTAGCAGAATAATTACAAAGTCTTGGCAACTTCCCGGAAGTGGCCCGAGAGAAAATAAAAAATATATCATAGTAAGCGACCAACTTAAAATCAATTTGGAGCCTCGGCGATTATAGTTAGTGTGGCAGATCACGATACAGAAATATCCCCCTATTAAATTCCAAGGTGCAACATTAAATTGCATTAGTTATTTCTGATGCTTGTCAAGTGATAGTATTTGAGTTTGCTTTTTCTGTCCCGGTCTTAATTCAAATTTTTTTAAGAAATATAAAATCAAGATAATAACATAAGTACAGTAATTTACACAAAATGCTGTCAACTTTTTAAAATAAGTCGATTTTAGAACAAAATACTAAATATTCAAGATGTTAAATTTAAGAGTAGTCCACAGCTTATATTTAAACAAATTCACATTCCTTTTTTTCTTCTTCTTTTTTTGAATAATAGAAGATATTTTCTTGTTAATAATTGTTTTGCTAAACTCTCATTCAGCGTTAGAATCATGCTTTTGAACTAGAATCAAGCTGAAGTCAAAATTAAATCAATAAGTGCAACATTTGTTTTTATGCTATTCCAAATTAGTGTGCAAAACAGTCATAATAGCAATACTTTATCAGGCCACTCCTAAACATATCTTGGACTCAACAGAGAAAAAATCTTATCTTCTCTGTTTCTCATCAACATGCTTAAGAGGACCCTATACCAGTGGAGAAAATTTTCATTGCAAAGTCTCTTTCACCCCCATTACTAATTAAAAAAAAGAAAAAGTAAGTTCAAGCAAACCTAGAGTAAGCCATGAAGTTACACTTGCTGAAAAATAAATTTTCAAAAGATCAACATGCAAACAAATTATTTTAAAAGAGAACTTCTACATTTAGCCATTCCAAGTTATTGTTTCTTAATTTATTTTCGTTTAAGAATTTCTTCTTAGTATTTAAAACTTCACGGCTCACTCTAGGTTTGTCTGAACTCTCCTATCTTTACTTTAAACTAGTTATGTAGGTGAAAGAGAATTTGTGACGAAAAGTTTCTCCAGTGATATGGCGTTCCTTAAAGTCAACGGTTTATTTGACTTGGTCTGGACAGACCAGGTTAGTGGAAATAAGAAGTGTGCAAAATGAATGAAAATTCAACATTTTTTCAGCTGGGAAAAGCCTTCTATCTCAAACAGTTTATGAAATATAATTACATAAAAACCATAGCATCCAACACGAACAGAAAAACATCCTGCAGATTTTACAAAATAAAAATTTTGTGATAATTGTTGCAGAGTATACTTAATATTTTATGCATAGAGATTTTCAGGGATTATTATAGTCACCAAAATAGAAAAACTGCAATATTTCTCAGTTATGATTTCCTATTAAATGATCTAGAAATGTTATGCATCATATGTATTCATAATTTTGAAATGTAATTAATTCATAATTTGCATTCAATTCATCAAAGATAGTTAATTGGATTTTACAAATAAGGCTTGCTTCATTATGCATTAGTAACAATTATTTAAATATTCAAGGAAGCAATAATCTGTACAAAAATTCTATTTCATTAGGGATTTTTTTAAGGAAACTTACTCAATTGCAGGGAATTTTCTAAAATGTACAAAAACCAGGATAATTTTTATTAAACCAGTAGAAACTGGCAAAATACAGTAGTGTACTGGAAAATTCAGTAGAGTTGGCAGATATGTAAAAACTAATAATCACAAATCATTTTAAAGTCTTACTGATATATTGATAATATGTTGTGTGTTTATTCGGTAAATACATAATACAGCAAGTGATTTTTGAAATAGAGTAATGCTTATTCTGTTATAAAGAGTTGCTTAATTTTTTACTTAACTCTTATATAACAACTGGAGTTATTTTTTAAGCCCTCATAAGCATCTAAGGTAGCATAAGTCCAGAATAGAGACAAAAAATCTATAACTACGCAAATAGAATATGATGGTAATTTCAGATAAAGTGTTGGCAAGGTAAAATTATAGAGTAAATGAATACGAAAAATTACTAGAACTATAAATAGCGCAGAATTTTAAAAAAAAAATAACCAAAAAAATATGAAAACATGCGGCTTATTAATGCTACCTTTCTTCTTCTTCTTTCGCTTCTTTTTCTTTTGGGCTGGATCTTTGGCACTTAATTCGTCTTCAGCATCATCCACATCATTAGGATCTTCCCTAATTTCATCATTTTCTTCTTCAATTCTGGAATTGTGATCTTGCACGACGGCAGCCATTTTTGAAATAGAGAACCATGTGAGTGAAGTTGAGAGAATAAAAACAGCGACACAGTCTGCATGTTTTTTTTTCTTAACCACGAAAAAATCCTTTAAAAAATTAAAATTAATGTACATTGAAAATTTCTAAAGCTTTAAAAAATTAATCACCATAGCATCGAATCATATATTAAAAAATTAGCAATTTATCAAAACTAGATTCAAAACTGTTCACAACCGCAAAAACAGGCGCAATTTATAATTCGTCTGCTAGTTGTTTTTGTTTATGTAGCAGGGACTTCAGTTTTTAAATTTATTTAAAATGATTTGAAATGAAAACCATAGATAGAAAAAACTTATTTCAATGGAAATGAAGTTTTTTTTAAATCATTATTCCGATTTATAGAGGGCATTTCTTAGGATATTTTTAAGGAATAAATATTTAATAACTGTTAAGGTTAATTTTTAATAAACTTACCTTAAAATGGCATTCGGACTTATGCATTTAATTTCTTCTGCATCCTATAAAAAAGTATTCATTTCTGATGTTCATAACCTAGTCACAGGTATAAAAATATAGATTTTTTGGTTAGAGTATAAAATAAGTTGTCCCTAGAATTGGGCATTGTAACGTGGATCTTTTATTATGTATGAAATCTTCAATTTTCCTTTTATATTTATCGCGATTTGTTATTATTAAACAATCTCATATATAAGTCATTTTCCATATTTTCTGAAATAACAAGGAAATTGCTAAAATAAAAAGGATGTGCTGATTTTTCTGTAGATTTTTAATGATCCAGACATATTAGTGCACAGATTGTTGTTTATTTATTTATTGCATGCAGTCATTCACAAATTTTGATACATTGAAGGTCTATGACATCAGCATTTCCACATGAACATTTTAAACTATTTCAATGTTGTTAAGATATTTTTCTGAATGTTGCTATTAAAAATTTTCATAATAATATTAAAGCAAAATTCTTACAGTCTATAATTCTTGCCACACAGACTATAGTTCATGCAATTCTTTATACAAAACAAGTTTGCAGGTTATAAATCTATGAGCAAAAATTGATTTGTCCATAACAATTAAAAATTGCTAGTAATTATTGTGGCAATTTTTTAGGGAAAACATTTTTTGGCTATTAGATTGGCCTATATCATGCATTTAAGGGCAAAATATAAGTCATTTTTAAGTATTTTCCTTATCAAAAAGTGAAAAACGAATATCATTTTACAATATTTCCTTGTGACAATCTTAATCCAATATGTTTTTAAGGAAAACATAAATGGTTGACTACGTGCCAAGTTATTTTCATGCTTACAAAAAAAAACTTTTGTATCTGGTATAACCCTGCACTTCACATTTCAAAAGAAAGCTCCTTTTGATTATCCTGTGGGCTCTTTTATTTCCTTTCTTAATAGCTTGCTATTAAAATAAGAGTTCAAGGAATCAATGATGTCAAAAGTTATTTCAAACTATTCACTAACTATTTTTTTATTTTACAGTCATTGTTGAGCAGTCGACCCAATTTTTTTGGGTTTACTACTACTAATGCTCAACTCCATAGCCTTGTAATTTTGAACCCAATACAGAAGGCAAGGGAACTCCTGGATCAAGTATTGGGTGAAATTTGTCTTAAAAAACCCCCATGGTTAGCTTGGCACCAAGGAGACCTATGGTCCGTCTAACACTGAGGATATTTTACGTCAACACTGTGGTCGGAATTCGTATCGACCAGCCATTGCTGGGATTCCAACCCGGTTCCCCTCGTTAGAAGGAGAATCTCCAGAGCTATCACTGCTCAATTTCAAACTATTTTATTTTATTTTATAACCGTCGTTGAACAGCCGACCCAATTTCGGTTTTACGACTACTAATGTTCAACTCCGTAGCCTTGTAATTTTGAACCAATCCAGAAGAAAAGGAAACTCCTGGACCAGTACCCCTAGAGGTATTAATTTGTTATGGGAACAAAGAGGACTTAGCGACTCGACAGATTTAACTTGCATCAGTAAGCATTTACTGCACTGGGAGTCTTCTGCCGGCAGGGATCGAAACCACGAGCTTTCGGTCATGGGTTCAGTGCCCTACCAACCAGGCTATCCCAGCTAATTTCATACTATTATACTTAAAGCTTTTTCTATTGCTATTTTGTCACCTAATTTATGTATTAGCTTTTAACTTTTTGATGTTTGGACAAGCCAAGAGAGCCAGTTATTGACCTTTGCTAATTAAGTCAGGAAGGTGAAAAGCACCAGAAGTGTGAAAGTACATCTTAGCTCAGAACTTCCAGGATAGATGACAGCCCCTCATTTGTGAGGCCCTTTCTACAATTTTGCCAAAGTCTGAAGGAGAAGGAAATTTTCTCCAGATCCTTGTAATCCATGGTACTGCTCAGGGAACGACCACAGAACTTTCGACTCCACAGATTTTCCGAGCATGTGCTCTGTGGGTCTTAGTGGAGCTCTTCCGATCAGAGCCCAATTCTCTAACCAGTGGATTACCACTAGTGACTTAGTTTTATTGTATGTTAGGAGAGGGTTACGCCTTCTGACATATATATGTATATATATACCTGCCAACTTGTATGGATGCTGAAAAAGATTTTACAAAGTGGTAGTAAATGAACAAGTTAAGGTTTTAATAATTAAACATTTTAGAGCTAAGTAAACAAACAAATAGATCATATTTACATATTTTTTAATTATTAATTTGTCATAGTAGGTTGGAAAAAAAATTTATTTTTTGAAACTTTAAAATTGAAGATTTAATGTGTCAAGTAGCTATAATGTTGTTACTACTAAGAAGTTTTTTTATCAACAGCCGTACAAGTTTGCAGCCATATATATATATATATATATTCCAAATGTTTAAATTTCGAGAAAATGAAAAATTTTTATGTTTGCATCTTACTTACCAAACCAATTAGCTCATTAGTTAAGTAATGTATAATTTTAGAGGAGGTTTTGTCCCCCAAACCCTCCCAAAAACTACACCACTGACTACCACGGTCCAACTTATAACTACCACATCAAAATAAAGAAAATTCTTTATGCTATTGTGAATTGGGTGTTTTAACAAACTTGACTGTTTATTTACTTAATTTACACAATTCATTCTAATTGTTTTTTGTTTTCTTATAGATGCTTCACCTTTATTGGATACTTCTAAAGTTTTGATGAAAGCTCAGGTTTTGGGTATTATTACAGGAATAATAAGGCATCAACAAAGATCAGTGTTTTCTGGTAATTAATCAGTTTTTTAAATGAAAAACTGAATGTTTTTCTTATAGATAAAGTATTTATTATGAATCATTTCATTATGCTAAGCAAAAGTATTATTTTCAATTTACAAAGCAAAAGTACAATGGGAAAAAATTTTTCAGAAAGATAGGTAATTCTTATTTAATGAACTCATATCCCAGACTCAAGAAAATCAATTCTTATTATTTTCTTTCAATATCATTGATGTTAAATATGCTGAAATTTTTCATGAACTAAGAATGCAATAATTATTTGATGTAAATTTTTTTTAATCCGAAGAATCTTAACATATAGAATGTCTTGATTTTCTTGACTAAAAATGAATATTTTATAATTATGTATAACATCAGACAATTGTATTCTTTTTATTCTGCTGTTGAAGTATCTTACTAAAAGAAACGTTAATTTCTTTAGAGTATTATAACTATTGAGTAAAAATAAACTTTTGCTAAATGTAATTAATTTCATTAATATCAGACTATTCTCACAATATTGAGGCTTGTTTGAATTATTAGTTCATTTATATTTTATAAGTGAAATGGAGCCAACTTACATTAGTAGAGATGTAAGTAGATTTGAATATTGACATAGACTGATGAAAAATATTGAGGGAGCTGAACCTAAAGTAGTTCTATATTTTGTCTATGGTAAGAATTCCCCCCTCCTCAAAGTGCTACTACTATGGAAACAAGAATTGCGCATTTCAGGGAGGGTAGCTTCTCTTCACTCTAAGCCTAAAACAATAGAGCGAGGAAAAATAATCGCTTTCTCTCACAAAACCTGTCCTTAAACATGAACCCTACTTGAAATTGTTATACCTCGTTGCCGTTGTCACCGTCACGAGTCCAGACAAATGGCTGGGGGAGTTCTTAAATAATTTAAAATTTTGAATAATTATAGCTAATTTCAAAAGCTTTTTAACAGGGTTCATTTTTAATATGTAGCTAATTTTTTTTAATTTTACTTTTTTAAATATATTTTAAAAAACTTAAGTTTATGATTAATTAAATTTTATGATTATAATTGAAATACTCTTAAAAATGAATAATAGCAGTACATTTTAAAATATCTATTACAGTCGAACTCGTTTATAACGAGCACTAAGGGACCGTAACATGTACTCGTTAAATCCGAGTGCTCGTAATAAACGGGTCCTTAACACAGGCGTGCAACCAGAAGAGGGAATTGGGTTGGGAGGTCAAATTATTGAGTTTACATAAAATTTAATTAATGCTTACTTTAATTAATTTAATTAAATACTTTTCTTAATTTAATGACAACTATCTCCCCCCAACCAGCAAAAAATTTCTAGTTGCGCTACAGTCTTAAAAGAAAGAAGCAATAAACGGAAGAAAAAAAATAAAGGAAAAGATTCTTACCAAAATGTTCATTTTTTTCATTAATTCATTAATCTACATATTTAAAATAGTAGTTTGTTAGCTTACTTTGAAGTTTTTTTGGGTTTTTTTTGCGCATTTCTTATCATTTTGAAAAAAAGATTGCAAGACAGAAAAATATTGCTCGCTAAAACCGAGTCTTGCTCGTTAAAAGCGACTTCTGTTCCATAGACTTAACATTGATCCAACCAAATATTCTCGTTTCCCTCGGTAAATCCGAGTTCTCGTTAAATCCGAGCTCGTTATANGGCACTTGGGTCTATTTCCCATTGGCCTCAGAAATACCAGAATTGCTACTCTCTTATCGTTACACAGTGAGCACCTATGGCTAAACCACGGCGGTGGAGTAGCGTCGCCCACGTCATACAACCACAACCCGTTTATAGGGCGGGTTACATTCATTCAATCACACAGAAGAAAGGACATAAAACACCGAGAGTAAAAGAAACATACATGCCCCAAGCGGTATTCGAACCCGCAACCATCGACTCCGCAGTCAGGCACGGTAGCAACTCTGCCAGCTGGTCGGCTAATATATAAATATAATATAATATATATAACATTCTTTGTTCTTACAAAACAAAGAATTGGATTAGAATGGGAGTACAAAATATTTAGTCACAACATGACAAAATATTTTAAAGGTATGCCAACTGCTAATAAAAGGCAGCTATATTTTACACAAAAATTCATTAAAATAACTCTTTTAATTGTAAGCGTATGATTTTATGGATGATCCGCAGAATTTACAAATCTGTAGCTGTTGTATCACTCAGTTCTTGCAGATAATTGGAGTGTAATTCTTTCAATTTTAATATTTTTATTGTTAAATAATATATTTTTTGTATGTTTAAATATTGCATAATTGAGATAGAAATCAATAATTTTTTTGCTTATTATTTTTTATTTAGTTGATGATGGAACTGGAGTTTTAGATTGTCTACTTTGGCACAAAGAATTACCTGTTTTAGAAAAAGTCAAAGAATTGAAAAAAGATTTAGAATTTGGTAATTTATTTTCTTTAGCTTTAAAAACTTAAGACTTTTTCATTATTCCATGAGAACGGCAAATATATTTACAAAGCTTTATTTCATGTACTGTTTTACTACTAATTATTTTTATTTATTTATTTTTTTATCTGAAGCATTATTTCTACATCTATTGTCTATATTACTTGAATGATTAGGCCATTCACAAAAAAATGCTTTTAAAGTTTTGGTTTAAAAAATATTACAAATTAATGTGTGCAAATTACACCTGTTTTGTTCATGATTGCAATATCTTTTTTACCTTCTGTCTGAATTTCATGAAAATTTGATATTTGAAAGAACTAATGCATTCATTAAAAACCATTACATAACACTACAATAAATATTTGGAAAAAAAATTATTTTAAAATAGAGAATTTAATATTTATTTTAAAGTATGAACATAAGTAATAGTTAGAAAAAAAGTTTTGATTTAATATTAAGTTATTATTTATTAATCTAATTTTAGATTAATTATTAATAATTATTTATAAGTCAAATAATTGCAACATATTAAGTAACTATTTTTATTTGAAAAGATTAAGGGTAAATAGAATCTATTGAAAGAGACTTGAAAATCAATTTTTTCTTTTAAACACTTTTCATAAGCGTCTCCTGAAACATGATCTGTCTAAAACGTACTATTATCTTTCAAACTTTCGATACTCAGCCATTGAAAAAATTTAAAACTATTTAAAAAAATAAGTTTAAAAATTTAGATTTTTTTTTTTTGCTTAGAAATTAGGAGCAATTCTTTTAAATCTATATATTTATTTTATCTATGAGTTCTTTACTTCCAAAGCATCATTTAGAAAAATTGAAGTGTCACTATCAATTAAAAATAAAAAAATAGTTTTTGGAAAAAGATTGTGGAATTTATTTTTTAGAAATGCCACTTTATCATTTTTAGATTAAGTGCTAATGCCCAGTATACTCTACTGACCACTACTATGCAAAGTGACTACACGGATAAGTAGCTTATCGAGACAGTACCTTAAAAATCAAACAAATAAAAAAATAATTATGAAAAAATATTTATAATTTGCAATAAAAAATATATATTAGAAGAAATTTTTTTTTTATATATTTCTCAAATTGTGACAATTTGTTTTTTAAGTAAATGTAAAAGTATGCATTAAGCATTTACTTGTGTGCTTATTTAACAAAGGCAATTTTGTTGTAATTTATTTTTGATCCATATGAAATTGTAAGGTTTAGGACATCTTTTCTCTTGTTCTGCTATATCTCACATCCAATCCACTTCAAATCAATTAAATCTAAACGCTGTAACACGTGAAATTTCGGATACGAGTAAAAGCAAAATTAAGCCAAATAAAAATTATAAAAAATTTAAAAGTGAGTTAAACCAAATTATAGGTGTGTGCTAGTATATTGTGTTGTACTAGTAGTGTAACACTAGTGTTGTACTAGTATATTGTAAAGTACTGGTCCTTAGGACCCAAATTTTCTGGGTACTTTTTAATCAAAGTGGGTCCCTTTCAAAAATTATATCAATTTCTATTTTGAGATATCCTTGAAAAGATTTAATTAAATATTTGATGATTAGAAGAACAAAAGAAAGAATACAATTGTTTATTGAATCAGTAATAAGATTAACTACTAAAACTAAAATATCTAGATTAACTGTCATAAAAAGTTCAATATTTGGAGATGTAATGAAAAAAAAAGTTTTTTTTTTCATTTGTATTACTCAGACATTAATAATTCTGATATATATATTGAATAATTATTGAATCCCAGCATATATCAAAGTTTTAAATTTTCTGCATTTTGCTGTATAAATATAGTTTAGTTCTTTCCCTCCCCCAAATGAAAAATTTAAATCAAACCAATATAGAAAATGTTGAAGTATCTTACACATTGGTAAATCTGGGTTTTTTTTTTTCTTTCCTTTTTGTAATGTGTGTTATGATAAATCCTTATTTTTTACTCCACAATGTTATACCACCATATATATATATTTTCATGATAATAATAATAATAATAACTTATTAATAAATGAACAGGAAATTTGTCTAGTGATTTGAAGAAGTGTGCATTGTCCATGTTAAAGAAAGCTGATAAATCTAAATTAGAGGAAGCTGATAAGTATGATCATGGAGATTTAATATCTTGTTTAGGCAGTGTCAAAATGTATAAAGGAAAACTGCAACTGGAAATTCATCACCATTGTATCCTTTATATATGTGGATTTATACACATAGATTTATGCATGGTGTGGATTTATGCATGTAATAAATTTACCAAAATAAAGAATTTCAACAGAGAAAAGCCTAACATGGGTATCTTAGCCGGAGAGGGGAACATAGGATTCAGGTCCTCTTGAATAATTAATCCTCTTCATCTACATTTATGGATAAGTCTATTTTTTCTTTTGACCATTGTCTAAGCTTTTAAGTGTTAGTGCTTAGTTGGTTAATCAATTCAGGTGATGTTTTTAACTCTGTGATTTGATGAAATATCAAAATGCAGCAATTATATTTAAAATTGAAGGAAAAAACATGAATAAATTACTTTTTTGTACGTAATATTCATGATGACATAAAATACTTTTTTTGAATAAATTACTTATTCCCATTTTCTTTGCCACTGAATATTTAAAAAAATTTTAGTTGGTAAAAAAGGTATAAGAATGAGCTATGGATACTTGATATTACTTATTCATGGCATGCTTCAAATTTAAGTTATTTAAGTATTTTTTTAACTATGTTAATTTTTATTTTAAAGAATATTTTAGATTTTTTTTCCAGAGATTTATTTCATGTTAGATAACCTCTGATAGACATAAATGCGTGCATTTAATTTTGTAAAATTGGCAAACTTGTGAACATTAAAATATGATTATTAAATTGAAAGTTATTCAGAAATTTCTTTTTTTTTTTGCTCTGTGTAGATTTTTCCTGTAATTAGGTAACTTATTTAATATACAGTACAGAACCCGTTATCCGGAAATCAGAAAACCGGAAAACCAAAAAACCGGAACGAAATTCAATAAATTTTCCCCCGCAATTTCTTTAAAACAAAAATTTTTTCCTCATAAGATTTTTCTTTTCTTTTTTGAAAGATGCTTACCTTACCATCATTTCAGAAATAATCATTAGTGTATAACCTCATCGTTTTTTCTTATTTTTAAGATTATTTCCAAATATATATATTTTTTTAGTTGGGTTTGACACTAAAAAACGGCTTCTTGTAGCGATTCAGAAACCCGGAAAAATCAGTTATCCGGAATAGCGATAGTCCCGATCGTTCCGGATAATCGGTTCTCTACTGTACAACTCTCATAAGTGTCTAATTTCAAATCAAGGCAAAATGTTCTCATGGCAAAATGTTCACTGGCATAAAGTCTGGGGCTAAATTGCTATGAGCAAATTATTCACATCTCGTTTATTGCTACTACTTTTTAAAAAATAATTTTACATCTTGGAAGTTGTGTTAATTTTATTTCTTGAATATTTATAATTATTTTTCTTCAATTAAGCTTGTCTTAGGAGGAAAGCAAGGAAATTGTCAGCCAAAAACCAAGCAATCTGAATCTAAGATAACCAATTTACTAATTTTATGGAAAATATGATTTTTTCTTTAAAGCAATTATAAATTTATAAAGCAAATTAAAAGAAACATTAATTTATTAGGTCTCCTTTAAAATACATCCGAAGCAAATTTCAACCTCTTAAACCAAATGTTACTCTCATTCTGTTTTTTAAAAAAAAATCACATGCCACTTTTTTGATATTGGCAATGCAGGTGATCTTGCTCTCTTCATATTTTTTATTACTTTTTCCAATCTCGCAAAAAATTATTGACCCACCATCACTAGGATTCGAATCCCGTCCACCTCATTGGAGGGCGAACACTCTATCCCCTGAACCATCACGGGTTGTTTTTTTTTTATGTAATAATTTTCTTTCCCTACTATTTATTTTGACCCACTCACCAGCTCAAAAGAAATCACAATTCAGTTTAAAAATGTAAATTTTAGTGCCTGTATGTTGTAATAATCTTTATTGCTTTAAAATGTTGTTTCGAAATCTATGTTTCTAACTGTTACAGGTTTTCTAGTAGTTTCTACAGATTTTTGCGATTAGTTTCAATTTTAACTGTATAGTTTATTCTATTGTTGCCCTATTTGAATTATTTTAAATTGACTGCTTTATTTAATTTCTATTTTGGATTACTTACCAATTTTATGTCTCTTGACTATCTTTAGACATGGCACCAAATGTAGACAGTGAATCACTTTGGATATTGGATGTTGTTGCAACTAAGCAAGAAATAAAATAGGCATCTGAAATCAAATGAAAGTTTTATGCCAGATTACAATTTGTTTTACTTATGTTTTTATTTTTTTTATTTATTTATTTATTTTATTTTTTTGAAAGAGGAGTAACTAATGTATGATCAACTTTTAAATTATGGTTTTCAAATGATATGTAAATGTAAATATTATGTTTTGTGGAAGTGTTGTAAGAATAAAAATGGAAAATTTTTATATTGTTCTTAGAAAAATTTAAAATAGTTCGAATTTTACTAAGTAAAAATACATGGATAATTTAACTCCCTTATTGTTTGTTAAACATGCATGAATGTAGCATTATTTTTACCTCATTCATCCATAACTGAAAAAATAATGTTACATGTATGCATACATGTAATGTAACATACATCTATTGTCGTTTTGAATTTATCATATGGCAATTTTCTTTAGTATGTTGAATGCCTGCAACTTTCCAAAGTTCTGCAATTTGTTTTTAAAAGTAAAATATTTGGTTTGAGAAGTTCCAGAACTGTGTGCCTGTAAATTTCCTTAATAAGTTAAGCTTTGACTCTAAGTAAAGAAACGGGAAATTGAAAAATTAAAAAATATAAATTTTTTTACGTCAAATTTATTTAGCAATTAATTAAAAGGAGTTAAAACATCTAGTGCAGTTCTTGGACCGGATTAACCATTAAGAATCTGCGTAGGGCACCAGAGGTTAGGGGGCAACACAAAGCACCAAGGTAAAAAAAAAATCTAAAAATATTTTTTTACACATTTTAATTCGATTGTAAGTTCTTACACGAGATCATGGTTTAAACTAAATTTCTATTGTGTTTATTTATTTTAATCCGTCAGAAACAAAAAAGAAAGTTGAATATTGCCAGTTTCCCATCACAAAATGACCAATGCTTTTTTCTAACGGACCACCTACATAGTCAATGAATCGCTGAGACCTGAAATACCAAGCTAGAGCAAGGAAGAAACTTTATATAAACAAGTATAACAAATTGATTTTCCTCACTGACGTGTCAGAGCATCCTTTTCTTTTCTGAAACATCTTGGGGATTGCTAACTGCTCCCTATAATTTTGTCTTTTTTCAATTAGAAATACTTTTTCTCTATATAATGAAGATAAAATAAGTTTGAAACTTTTAAATTTTCCTTTGTGGAAACTTCTGTTACAGTAAAACGGGAAGGCTAATGAAAGAGAGTGAAGTGTATCTACCACTACAAAAATATAATTCTAATTCACTAGTATATAAGACATGTTTACTAGATTCTATGGTGGGGTACCTTTTCATAGATAAAGGTTGACATTCTTGATATCTACTCCTCCCATATTGCCTTCGGACGCGATGTGAACACGTCTACCTTGTCAGAAACGCCCACTACGATTTGAACACACCTACTTTAAAGGATAGTCTACATTGAACAGTTGACTTGTTACTTGTAACTGCTACATTGTCCTCCTCACGCTGTTGCTTCCCAGTCTCGATCACACGAAACCTATACACTCGACTGATATAAAGCAACACAGGAGCGACCACGGCTATGAACTTAATACAGCTCTCCATATCAGGGCCCAAAAAGTACGGTGATCTTAATACAGCTCTCCCGGCTTCTCACAAAACGGCAATGAATCAACTAGTGGCATCTGTTCATCGAATTCTATCACAGATATAATTCTGGTGGGGAATTACTGTAATCTACCACTACAAAAATATAATTCTAATTCACAAGTATATAAGACTTGTTAGCTCGATACTATGGTGGGGTACCTTTTCATAAATGAATGTTGACATTGCCGATAACTACTATTTCCACAGAAAGGTCTCTTGATTGACATATTTTTTATAAACCAATCAGATGATAAGGTTGTTGTTGTTAATTTACGTCGCACTAGAGCTGCACAATGGGCTATTGGCGACGGTCTGGGAAACATCCCTGATGATGAGCTTCTCACGAATCCTCACAATTTTGATCCTCTGCGGAGGGGATGGCACCCCCGCTTCGGTAGCCCGACGACCTGCGCGAAGTCGAGCACTTTACGGTAGCACCGTTTAACGAGGACCAATACCGCACACCCTCGGTCCCTACGCAGATTGATCCAAGTGGTCACCCACCCGCACACTGACCGCAGCCAGTGATGCTTGACTTCAGTGATCTGCTGGGAACCGTGTCTTAACGACCAGTCCACTGCGGGACCAGATGATAAGGAGTTACATCAATGTCTCATTTTCAGTGTTCACTATGAGAGAAACAAGAATCCCCCAGAGAAGTTTTGAACACTTCACGAGATATAAAAAATAATAATTTATTTTTATTAAATTAGTTTTAACTTCTGTTCCCCCACCCCATTTATAGATTATTGAAAATGTTGTTACAACATAGTGGAGCTTTTATTTATGATAGGATAAGTCACTTTAATTAATTGATTTTAAATGTATTATTTCAAGTTACGTATACTTGTCAATGGAAAAATTTCATTAGATTGAAAAATTAAAGTGGAAAAATCGGCATATTTTATAATGTAATATGAGTTTCATTTTAGACCAAATGAATAATTTTTTTTTATAAGGGGGAGTCGGATGTTCTAATCCAGCTCACATTAAAATGGCCAAATTTGATATACTGAGAGTAAAATAAAAAGTGAACGCTCAGAATAACTCTCTCTTAATCTTCACATTCTCAGCCTTAATAATTCGAGGACTTAACCTTAAATATATAATTAAGAAGACAATATTTTAAGTTATGAAATCAGACACAAAAAAATACTTTCTCAGAATAAACGTATTTTTTTAAAAAAAATAATTTTGCGACAGATTTGGTATTCCGGGGGAAGGGTGACCGCAATCTGGAAAATATGGTTTCAATAATTTATACCGGAGAGCAATTAAAAATTTCCACCTCTTCAAGTTAATTTCACTTTTTGCATATTTCTATGGAAATTGCTAAGCAAATCAAAAAGTTTTTGCTCACAATTATAAAATTTATTTATCCGAATATAATTCCATGTAAAATTATAGTATATTTTTTCTAAAGAAAGGAATTCAATTGTAAGGTATTACATAGTTAAGTATGTAATTTTCAACAACAAAATACGAAAAATTATATGAAATTTGTAAAATTGCATACTTTAAAATGGTGCAAAATTTGTTTACGTTACAAAAATGTTTCGACTACTTTTAGATAAAATAATGAATTATTATAAAAATTGTTTTTAAATATAATTTTCTTTAGTTTAACGAATTTTATAATTATGTGCAACTTTTTTTTTTATTCGCTTAAAATTTAGCGAATTGCGCAAAAAGTGAGTTCCCAACTTTCGACTGCTCCCTGCCTAAACTATTGCGACCATATTTTCCAGATTGTGATTCCATGATTTGAATATCAGAATTCCAAATCTGCGGAAATGAGATATATTTGTTCAGTTGTTGTTGTTCATTTACGTCGCACTAGAGCTGCACAATGGGCTATTGGCGACGGTCTGGGAAACATCCCTGAGGATGATCCGAAGACATGCCATCACAATTTTGATCTTCTGCAGGGGGGATGGCACCCCCGCTTCGGTACCCCGGCGACCTGCACGCGAATATATTTGTTCAGAGAAAGTATGCTTTTGTGTCTGATGATTTCGTAATTTATTATCATTAAAATGTCGTCTGCAATAATTAATTAGCACATTTAATATATGACTTTTGAACCCATTAAAATCTAATCTTTACGTGACGCACACCCTTTTTCAGAAAATGTATCAATTTTCAAAAAATTTTTTTTCCCTTCATGTTATTGGAAACAACCCCGAGGATGATCCGAAGATCCATCACAATTTTGATCTTCTGTAGAGGGGATGGCTCCCTTGCTTTGGTAGCCCGACAACCAGCGCGAAGTCGAACACTTTACGGTAGAACAGTGACAGGGTTGGATCTCGCAAGTAAAGAATCTATAAGGCTCGAGCCTTATAGATTCTTTAGAACTATAAATCTATATTTGCGCCACTGTAGCTTATCACGTAAATGAATTTAGAGATGCGACAGAGAATCTGATTGGCGTTTTCGTTCTATCGTTTTTCGCGAATAATTGTATTTTACTCCTCGCTCGCATCTCCAAATTCACGCATGCGATTATTTCGTAAGATTGCCGTAAGAAGAGCCCAATTAAATTTCTTCGATGTAAGCTAAGACTTACTTTTTCAAAATGTAGTGAAAAAGCTTTGAAATTATTTGTTTGGCATCTGGCATCGGCACTTCTTGTTGACTTTGTTGATGGTTGTCATAGTAACATATTTTTTTGGTGATACCTGGAAAAATGTCAAATTGTCTACTAACTACGAAGATCAAGATTCTATACACTCCCACCTATTTTGATTTCATTTTCAATAAATACATTTTGAGGATCATCTATTTAAAATGATGCACATACAAAACTATTGGTTGATAAAAGACAAGCAAGGGTGTTTACGAACGCCACTCATTTTTCACTAAGTCAAGACACACGAACTGCATTTGAATTTCAGTAAATGTTGGCGTTATTTTAATAAAATTTTGTATTTCTAGCTCTATACATGTTTTTCGTTTTATAATACTAGTTTAAAAAAAAAAATCTCTCCTAAAAACTATGTTGACCATCAATTCAGTTAAATCTAAATCCTAAGCTGGAATCATATCTGTAATCACTAAGTTGTCTTTATTCTAAAAAGTCAGGTTTGAGGTAACAATAAAAGTCTAATATTTATTCCAAAACAAATGGTCTAGTAATTCTTTTAATCTAATATTTATTATATCAAAGTCAAATATTAATTGCTGTTTTTCAGGTACAATATTTAGTATTTTTATTTTTAAAAAAAATGGAAGAAAGGAGGCAGAGTAGAACTGAAGTGTTAGATAAAGATAACAATGGACCTGGAATTGTGTATTCAACATTTGTGTCAATGGAGAGTCTTTTAGAAAAGCTCAAACTACTCAATTATGATAGTGAATTCGTTCAAGAATTTAAGATGAAATTTTTAAATAAGTAATTATGATTTTAATATTCATTTTAATTTGCCTTTTCTTTTTGTTTCTTTGTCTAAAGCTGATGTAAATTTTATTTTTGATAATTTTTTCTTAAAGTAAAAAAAAAGGTAAATTTTTTATGTTATTTTATTAGTTTTTTAAAGTATATTTCTTCCCATAAATCTTCCATTCCATTTATCATAAGGCTCTTGTCACTCGTTTTCATATAAACTTTTCAATTGAGTGTTTTATTTTCTTTTTTTTTTAACTATGTTTTTAAAGTGTAGGATTTAGTTTTTACTGAATTCGATAGCAATTTTTTTTGTTGGAAATTCTTCTGAGTCTATTACTTTAAGAAGATTTGTTTTTCGTATGTAAAGAAAAAAAAAATAGTTTAATGTTCTAAAAATTTTATATTTTCCCATTAATTATGACTTAAACTGAGTAAAAAAATTGGAAATTCAATGGTTTTTAAGACTTATAAAATCCTTATCAAATGTTTCTAAAAAACACTTAATGTACTACAATAAAATATTTTTTAAAGTTTCCATGACATTTTTTTTAAGAACTATGTTCAATATAGTTTTCAGTTCCATATAGTTTTCTAACTGAAAAGTTTTTAATCTATTTGAAAATCAAGACAAAAACTAACGTACTTCCTTTTCCTATGACTCTCCACATGCTTTTGGTGAAATAATGTAAAGTGTTGCTATAGGTAGAGAGTTCTGCTCTACGCCACATGTAGCCCATTCTGTTCGCCAATATTTGATTTTCAATTATTAACCTTGTGCAATTCAAGAATTTTGTTATTTTGACTCCCCCTCTTGCTGTTTTCTCTCCTTGTTATCATTTTTTATTGTTTTTAAGTATTTAATTATATAAATAGTTTTATCGTGCATCTAAATTTCTATCACTTTTTAAAAGTAATTGATTGTACTATTTGTTTCATCATTTAGACACTATTTTGCTATACAGACAAATCCAGGAGAACAATTCTTTATGTTTTCTTCAATTGCAGCTTGGCTCATTAGAAAGTCAAAAATAAAGTTTGACAGTCCTCAAGAGGTGAGACTTAGTCTTAGGCTTTTTTTTATTGAATTATTTGATGAATGTCATGTATGAAAGGTGACAAAATAATGTGATTACGATTTACATTGGTTACAATTAAATTGATTGAATTTTAAATTGATTACGATTTAAAACAGTATTTTCTACTGCAACAATTTTAATATGGTTATATAATTGGGTAACAAAAAAAGTGGTACAAAGATTATCAGAAAAAAAAGAAAAAAACCCTCCAAAGTCAAAGTTTTTTTTTCTTTTTAAGAAAAAAAAGACAGAAAACTTTTTTAAACATAACAATTTTATAACATAAACCAACGTTATTTTCTTTGATATTCTCAAAGAATATTGAAAACTTTGTTGCAACATTATAAAATTTTGACATTAAATGTTTTTTTTTCTTTTAAACTATTAAAGTAATTTTTCTTTTAAACTATAAAACTAATTTTTCTTTTAAACTATGAAATGTTTTTTTCTTATAAACTATATATAGCGTCATAAAAACCACAATGGCTTAATTATTAAAGGCACTCAGTTGCCTCTGTGAAAAAATGGTTTTATTCTCAAAGATGCCTTGAAGCCCATCCAGAATGAAATCTATGAATACCAGTTTAGATAGTAAAAGAGGCTTGCTTGAAATTCTGCTACAAAATTACTTTAACCTTTTTAATTCTATTGGCCCAGTAAGAGCTGTTCCGGGATTGTTTACATACATATATATGAGTTAAAAATATAGAGAAATCATGAAAAATTATTAAGATTAACAAAAATAGAAAAAAAAATGTTTTAAAATAATACTTAAAAAGAAATTATTTAATAAAATATATTAAGAAGCTGGAAAACAAGATAAGGAAAGGATATAATCTTTTCATCAGCTCACACGATTATATCCGCAAAAAGGAGTGCTTTCTAATATTGTATCAACACAATAGTGTAAGGAACACTAAAAAAAAACAAACTTTTTTTTGAAACAAAAATAGAACACATTAAGAAAAAATATCTATACAAAATAAAACATATCAAGCAAAAAACTGAAAATACATAATAAAACACAAAATGAAATCGAGTAGTCAATTCAAATGAACTGGAATCTTTCAAGAATGATTTAAAATATTTTTGTAATAAGATTGCCAGATTACAAAATATGAAAAGGGAAGTGCAAATAGTGTTAGAAGCGTAAATAGAGGGATCTTGTATTCTTTTATATCGCCTTCTTACTGAATTTGTTAGTATACCTTGGATTGGCCCGAAAATGAATTTGCACAAGATAATAATATATTATATATATAGTGGCATAAATGATGTTTAATTAATTCTATTGTAGTGTAAAAATTTGAAAGGGTGACGCTCAAATTGTTAAAATTTTTTTTTGTATTTATTTACTTTTTCAAAAGAATCATGTTAACAGTAAGTTTTAGAGTATTGATAACTTGATGTTAGAAAATTTTAAGCAATAGATTCTGACCATATTATCACTTAAATAAAATGTTTCAAATGTATGCTATGGTTTCAACAATTATTTTGATAATTTATTTTATTATTAATTTCTCTATTTCAGTTCGATGATCCCAATGGTACCATTGCTAGTATATTGGAGCAAGTTAAACAAATGGTTTGTTTTATATTTTTACCCTTCTGCTTTGTTCTTTAAACTGAGTTATCAAATTATAAAGCCTTTTGTTTTGCTTTAGGGAGTTCATGTTGACTTTCCTCCGAGTAAATTGAAACAAGGATGGGGTGAACATGTCATTCTTGTGCTCTCTCATTTGGCTGATGAGGCACTTAAAAGAAATAATTTCACATGGAAAAGGTGATTTAGAAAAATAGTAAAGGATACAAGAATGTTTTGTTCTGATAACAATTGGCAAAAATCATAATTTAAAAAAAAAATTTTTTTTTTTTCTATATTGAAGTTGAAATTTTTTTTATTTCAATAAAATTTTTTTTCCTTATTAATCAGATTTTAAAAAAAAATTTCAATAAGATTTTTCTTTTGTTTTAAATCCATTTTCTTTTAATAACCAATAAAAACTCAGAATAAAGTGTATTAATAATGTTTGCTATTATTTAAAGATAATTATAAATAATATTTAATTATAAATATAATTATTTAAAAATAATTATTAAAAATCGTTATAAATAATAGTTATAAATAATATTTAATTATAAAAGTAATTATTTAAAAATAATTATTAAAAATAGTTATAAATAATAGTTACAAATAATATTTAATTATGAAAATAATTATAAATAATATTAATTATAAAAATAATTATAATTATAAATAATATTAATTATAAAAATAATTATAATGATTAATAATTTTATTTATAAGTAGAATAATTAAAATTTCTAACTAAAATAGTAAAATTTTTTCTATATAATTATTACTAACTAATCACTACAAAATTAAATGCATAGTTATTTTTGTTAAAGCTCAAACCCAAACACCCATAGTCAATTTTTAACATCAAAGACAAAACTTGTCAGTTAGATATCAAATGAAGAATAAATTAGTTTAGATCAAAAAACATAAAAAAACTAACAATTCTAAATTATTATGAGCAGAACTTCCTTCATTGTTTATATACACAAACTATATGTTTAATAAGCTTTTAAAATGTACTGGTATTTAAATAAACAAAACTAAATTGACATAATTTAGTTTTGTTTTTATAAATACCACTTGATTGTTATTAAATAAACAAATTTCAGTTTGTTTATGAAACAAACAAATATTGTAAATCACAAATTCTTTTACACACAGTTAAAAAAAAAATCATGATACTCTTAACTGCATTTTATTTTTATCTCATTTTTAAAATTTTTTTTTTATTAATTTATTTTGAACATCAAATAGGAATTTAAATATATTCCCCTAACATTTTTTCTCGAGATAAAACCTTCAATATCAATAAAATCTGATTTTGAAAAAAAAATATTCCAATAAATTCTTACTATACTTTTAAGAGAACGTCTATAATTTATATTGAAAAAATATTGTTTACTTACGTCAATGATTTATAAAAAAATCAATTGATTTATATCAATGATTTTTAAAAAAAATATCAATAGACTTAAATTATACGAAAGTTAATTTAAGTTTAGAAGTTATTCTAACTAATCTTAATTAAGAATTTCAATAGCTTTTTGACTTTATGAGTCTAAAAGAATTTTGCCACACGTGAGACTAAAATTTAAATCTCGTGGGACTTTTTTTGAACTATTATGAAAACTTTCATGTGTCATAATAATTTTTGACAGGGCCATCATTTTGCCCAATGAAGATGAAGGAAATGATTCTATCATTGAAACTGATGATGCAGAAGTCACTTTAGAGAAAATTGAAGAAGAAATGATTGCTGTAAGATTTTTCTTCTTCCATCTTTAATGTTAATACTTAATAAAATGGCTAATATAATTTTACACAAGAAAACATTACAGTCCATGCAATTAAATGTTTTCTGAATTATTTGTGAATTGATGAAAATTATTTTGACTTTTATATTTTTGGATCTTATGAAGTGTATGTTCGCAGTTGAGCATTTTCAGCAAAAAGTTCCAAAAATGTGTTTATATGCATAAAACAATAACTTCAACTAAAAATTCTCAAAAATTAATTTTATACAAATTTTGAAACTATTGGTTCATTTCATTATCTAAATATAAAAGACTGTAAAAAACGTACATAATATTCTCTGTTTAAAAAGATAATGTAATTTGTTTGTTGTTGAAGATTTTGTAATTATTTCTGCTAAAATTCTTTCAAAACAATTTTTAACCAAGCAATATGTGATGACATAAAATATTTTAAATTCCAACAAGAGCATTACCTGAATTGGACCTTTGGTTTATTAAATATCAGATCAGACAGTTTGAGAAATAAAATGGTTTCTAAGTTATCATGTTTTAAGTGCTGTTTCTACTTCATAACTATTGAAAAAAGATAATAATATTTTATTTTAGTTGCATGCAATTTAGGTAATTTGAGTAATATTATTTGTAAGTTATCCATGACATACATAAACTAACTGAATGAGTTTAGCTATTGTAACAATGATATCAATAGATGTCTAACACTTTTTCATCACTTCAGAATCATCCGGTATCCAAATCTATTTTTTTACATCTACTAATTTTGTCAGATTCTTAACTGCATTCTTTTATTAGTTCTTTTGTCAAGGAACATAAAAAAAGACTTTTTTTGTGCCTTAAATGAAAATTTAAACTTTAATTTTTTGACATAGATATAATTTTTTGCTAAAAAAACTAGATTTAATGGTGAAATATTATTTTGACTTTAAAAAGTAATTTAAAAATATTTAGTTTAAAAAAAAGTTCAAATTTAGCAACAAAAAAAAATGTTTTTTTTTTTTTTCTCTTAGGTTGTATCATTAAAATCAAATAACATTTATCAATTTACACACAATCAATATTTAACACAAACATTTTCATTTTTAAAACTGTTTGTTTTCTTCATATTGAAATTTTTTAAGCATTTTAGCATCAGCATAGAAGATACTGGCTATAGACAGACAAAATTGAACAAAATAGTTATAAGTAGTTGTTGCAATCTTATGACATTTATAGAAATAACACATTACTATTTCATAAAAGACTTTTTATCGAGTAGTAATGAATAGTAAAAATAAAAATTATGCAAAAATTTTTTAAAAACAAATCTCCAATTTGTCAAATTTTTTTTTTCTCTAAGGTCATATCATTAAAATCAATAAACATTTCTCAATTTACACACAATCAATATATAACACAAACAATTTTATTTTTAAAACTGTTTGTTTTCTTCATATTGAAAATTTTTTAACACAACTGTTGCAATCTTACGACATTTATAGAAACAACACATTACTATTTGATATAAGACTTTTTTCATGTCATATGAAAAGATTTTTCAAAATGCATTCTTAAGAAGAAGTTTATTGTATGGGACATTTAGTTTAAACAATTTGTGTTTTTTCTAGATCCCTAAGTTTTATTCAAATGCTCATTACATTTGATTAATTTATCACTACATTTTTCAATCTATTTGACGCTTTTCATGAATATGAAAATGTAATTAGTTTAGATTATTAACACAGAAATGAATTATGTTGTAATTGTTTTCAGGAAACATTTGAGAATGATTCTGAGGAAGAAGGAGAGGTGCTAGATTTAGAAGCTTTGAGAAACTTGTCTCTTGCTAACCAGGTAAAATTCAATTCATTTCTATAAGTGTCTTGTATTTCAGAATAAGTATAAATTAAATTTTTTCATGCTCATTTTTTATTGATAAAAGCATTAATTATATTACATTTTGATTTATTAGTTTAGCACCTTTAATATCTTTTTTTCAACTGGTCATAAATTTCAATTTTTTGAATTTTTAACTTTATCGTTTTCAAAACATCTTTTTTACTACATTATTTACTTTCAACTACATTTTCATTATGTGGCTATGTAAAATTTTAAATGAGAGAGTTTAAAAAAACTTAAAAACTTAGAGTTGCATTTATAACAGCTAGATTTTAATTTTTAAAAAATTTTTATTTTCTAAAATTTTTTAAAAATAGGAGTAAGTGTCAATGACACCCAAAACTTTTTTTTACAAAAACGTTTCTAATTTTTTTAGCTGAGATGTATGTTTTTAAAATTGGCAAAGACAATATTTGTATATGGTGGAATTGCCTGAAAGTATGTTAATATTTATGGTTTTACTTCATATCTTATTAAATTCTATAGATATTTTTTCCCTTAAGAATAGTCTTATTGAATAATTAGTCACTTAAGCAATATGGCTAATTATAAAAGAAAGATTTCGAAAGCTTTCAAAATAACCTGCCTTTATTAAGCTTTAAATTTTTCATAAACAACAGGACTACAATATTTTCCAAGTTAAAATAAAATCCATCCTTTTCCATCTTTACAAACTCGAACGATAAATGGCTTTATTCTTTCTATTTATGTGTGGTGTTTGTGTCTGAATGAAATCATTCTAAAGTGTGAAGAGGGTCACATAAGAATGTTTTTTTTAAACATTGGGTTTTAATATGTAAAGTTTTGGGAGCCCCTGTGTTGAAGTTTTAAAGTAACTATAAGTTTTCTATATAACTTTTTGGGTGAATAATCTTGGTGTCATTTGTAGCTTCTTTGTTTCCATTACTTATTACTTTGAGGGAAAAAAGTACTGGTGTTGCAATGCTTTTAAGTATTACGTACCTGCCAAGTCTCCTGTTTTTTTAACGAAGATTTCTGTCTTTACGACTATCTCCTGTTTACCGGCATATTCCCATAACCTGTACATTTTTCTGTATTTGTTGAAAATTTTTTAAAGTAATTTTTGCCGTTAAAGTACCCGCTGATGGCAAAAATACCTCTCTTATTTCTCAACAGATGGTGCTATTGCCAGTACTACAGTATGTTGAGTGTTTATTAAGTAATTATAAACAATGGCTTAAAAAAAATCTTCTTTAGATTAAGATTTATATACATATTTGTTACTTAGGTATCAAAAATTGATGTAGCCTAAAAAATTTCACTTGTAAAATCTCCGTAGATAAATTAAGTTTGGTTTTTTAGAAAAAAGGAGATGATATGAGGCCTGTTTACATTACTTATTCCATTACTACTTGTTTTCATCACTTATTAGTTTTGCCTTTTGGAGAAAAAGTACTGGTGTTGCAATACTTTTAAATATTGGATTTTTAGATCAATTAACTTTGGTTTTTCAGGGGAAAGGGGAGGATATGAGGCCTGATGAGGTAATGGAATCAAATCTGGATGTGGTGGAATGGAAGATGGAGATAGAGAGAGTCATGCATCACCTTAAAGTCACAGTCAGGAATGACTCAAGGGTAGATTCTTTTTTCAATTGAATATTACATGGAAAAAAATATAATTAAATGTTTTTATTGTAAGAAGCTTTTGGTTTTTATAATTTCCTTTTGCATGGTACCATTATATGTTATAATCTAATACCCGACAGTGAATATTAAGCGGAGATATTGGGCCATATATGAATGCAGTATATAAGGAACAATTTCTTCATTTTAACGCACTTTTAAACATATACTGTGATACCACAATGGACATTACATATTTTCTAGCTTTTAAAATTTCTTTAATTTTTTTTAACTTATTTTTTTAATCACACTAAACCAAATTTTAATTAAATTAAATCAATTAGATAATTTTTATAAAAAGTGAACATAAATATTTTATTCTTTTTCTTATCGATTAATGTAATGGCAAACTTTTTATTTAAATACTAATGTAGACTCATTAATTCACCATCGCCCCTAATCGAAAACAAAAATCTATTTATATCTCTTTATACTTAATTTCTTACCACAAATATGTTTGAGTTGCATGGTTATGTTATCTTTCAATAAATCACCAACCTTGGATCTCTTCCATGCTCCTAATTGTCTGTTGGGAGCAATTCAAGCACTTTTTAATTTGGCTTTTGATTAGGCAGGTCATGGGGGATTTTATCTCCAATGGCTTGCCCTTATTAACTTAAAATTTATTTAATTTAGAAAGTCTTATGGATAGAATAATAATTTGTATCTCGAGCTCTACAAATACTACTAAATAAAAGTTTTGTTATAATTATGATCCAGTTTCCATCTTCAACTGTCATTTTTCATTATCCTGTTTTCATCACATTCTTCCATTAGTCAATTATAGCATACAACTTCAACCGCAACTGATTTCGTCTTTATATATACATAGATACTACTTATATATTGTGCCACGTTCTGGGATACCTAATCTGTCTATAATAATATTTTTTGGTATGGTTATGTTATAATATAATACCTGACCAACTCTGAATATTGTATGAAGCATTTGGTTTTTACATACAGTATTAGCCTCAAATGTTTTACCTATTCATTAGTAAAAAAAAAAGTCAAATTTCAATATTTTGTAAATTAATGAAATGTTTATTATTTTAATACTGAAATGAAAGACAAAAATTTCCTTTGTAAGACCGTGCTTTGAAATATTTTAAAAAAGCTGTTAGAAGTATTTCTTAAATTTTAGAAATAATGAAATTTCTAAAAAATATTAAATGCTTGATAGCAATTATTTAGTACACTAATAGTTATTTTTTATAGTGTGTAATTAATTATTTTGTGTTGTGAATAATCATTTTTGATTCTTTAACTAGAGAAATATAATTTAAAATTAAACCTTCTCATGTAANTCAACACTTTGTCTAATCTTAATATAGTCTTTTCTCAATATAGTCTTTTCTCAATATAGTATTATCTCAATATAGTATTATCTCAATATAGTATTATATCAATATAGTATTATCTCACTATAAGAGGATATTGTACTCCTCATATTTATCAAGACAGTCAAGTGGGTCTGCTGTTAAAAATTATGCCATAATAACTTGCCAGTCTTTTACCCCAATTGCTATAAATTTCTGATTCCATATACTTGAGCTATTGTTGTTTTGCCTTGCCCCCCCTTTTTTTTATCAGTGAAAGGTTTTGATACAAAAAATTTTCTTAACTGGATTTTTTCCCCAGCCATTCTAGCAATATATGAGCAGCCCAATTCATTAATTTAATTTTAATATTTTTGATGATAATGAATAAGGGTTTTAGGATGTTTAATCTTATGACAGTAAAAGAAAAATTATTATTAATACTGTATTATAATTTTTTTTCCTACTGGTTCCCCCCCCCCCCTTTTTCTTGTGTTTATTGGTAGGGTAATGTGGCTTTCCTCAAGCACTGAGGTTATAAAAATATAAAAGATAGGCTTAAATATATGTTTATACTATTTGATATGTGAACTCATAAAATTTTTTATCACTTTAATGGTGTTAGAATAGAAATAGCTGATAAAAAGTAAAGATGCACTGACATCTAATACAAATTATTTTTTCATTTCTAAGAAAATTATAGATAATATATATATATATATTTGGTTATTAACTTTCAAGAACCTATTTTCGATAAGATTAAATTTCATAATTTTTTTGAGAATTTAATTCCATTAAAAGATAGTAACCTAATTAAAAGCTTTAAATATAATAAATTTCTTGGTAGAACTATTTTTAATTATAATGACATTAGCAAAAAATTATTGAAAATTAATCTATCCGATTGTGAATGTCACTACGAAGAAAAAAAATATTTTGAATTCATTGATAATCATCATAAACATATTATTACTGGTAATTTAAATATTATAGAAACTTGATGCTCAAAGGTACAAAATTTAGACCCATTTACCATAGATCAATTAATAAAATAAGCTCAATAATTTTTGTTTAAAAATATGGGCTGTTTATTGTTACTCTAGAAACTTTGTTTTCTATAATAAGGAAAATTTAATTTTAAATAACAGTAACAATTCTAAAATTTGTTAAATTTAAATTATAAATTAAAATTCTTAAAATTTTCTAAATTTTGAAATTACCCTTTTAGATGAAGCTATAATAATAATGCAATCTTCTGTAAAAAAATCTCTGTTGAACTTTTAAATAAGGAGTTAAAAATAGTAAAAATTTTAAGCTTAGTAATTTAAATAATAATAATATCATTAAAAGTTTTCACCTTTATATAAGAGGTTAGTTAAAAGTAGCTTAATTGTTAATCCAAAATTTCATAAAATTAATATTAAATTTAAAACAATCATCTGCAGGTCTTATACTTACCTAACTAACTTGACACAATTTTCTCTAACTACTTAAATAAAATTATTTACAATATTATTAAAGTTTTTTCTTGCATTATCACTAATAATCAAGCGATTTTAGAAATCATTAAACAAAATAAAATTAATTCTATTGATACTTTTGATTTGCAGGATCTTTTCAATAGCATTCCTCTTTCTAAACTAAAATATGTTCTTTTGAATTATTACTATGACCATAGGAATATTCTTAATTGTGATTTTGATTATTGGAAAATTCTAATTAATATTTTTCTTTAAAATAATTAAATTTACAATTGAAACATATTTTTATTCAAATTGATGGAATACCACAAGAATCTAATTATTCACTCTTAGCTAACTTATTTGTACACTATTAAAAAATTATTCTCTTAATTTTAAATTTGTTTCTAAATTTACTGATAATTTAATTATCTTTAGTTTTCAAAATTATTCAATTTTGTTTAATAATATTTACCCTGAGTAAAATAATCTTGCTTCGTAATCATGATGATGTAATCTGGCAAACTTATAATGAAAATAATTTAAATCATTTTGAAAGGTTCTGGAATGTTCATTCAAGCTCATTTGAATTCATTACTTGCTTTATCCCTTTGTAACTCAACAACTCTGATTTAAGAAATATTTACGCGGATGTTAGAATACATTATATTAAGCGTGTAAAAAATAATGAAAAAATTAAGATCTTAAAATAAAATTTAATGATAAAAAGTATTTTGAACGTCTCCAATATCGTGAAAAATAGCACAAAAATTCAAATATATTTAAAACTTCATGTGAAAAATTTTGAAATTGTTGTTTTTATGGTAACAAAGTCTCACACCACATTTTTCAAACCCTCCTTAGCCAAATATACAATCAAGGGGATTGTTGTAAAAAAATTGTATGCCCTGCAATTATGTCGTGGAACAATTCTTGCTAAACACATTATAATATTGGTAGCTACACCAAGACTTGGTTTCCCCCGAGTTTGCAATATTTTCTTTACCTGAATTTGGTTTGATTTTATAGGTAAATCCAGCTCATTATAGGATTGAATTTTCATGTATGTTGCAGATATGTAACGCGGTGATACAAGGGGTTAAATATTATATTTTGTATTTTATTCTGTATTTTTCTTCCCTTTAATTTTCTATTCATATATTTTTTACTTAATATGTTCTATTTTTGCTTCAAAGTTTTATTCTGGTGCTCCTCACACTGTTATATTGATATATTTTGCTTTAGCTATATTAGTACAATATTAGAAAGCACTCTTTTTTGTGCATCGTGTGAGCTGATGACGAGATTATGTTTTTTCATTATTTTGTTTTTTGATTTTTTTTTAATATTTTGAATAAAATTTAAAAAAAATTATTTTTAACCATATTTTATTTTAATATTTTTTTTCCGTCTCTCTTTTAATTAATCTTTATTATATTATTTTCCATGTTTTCTCCATATTTCTAACTTGGAAGCCACTCTTTATAGCTTTGGAAGCCTATAAAGCTTGTGAGCCACGGATCTAATAAACTGACAGAAATTTTAACTCCTTAGGATTGGAGGAGCCATTTAGATCAGATTCGGCAACATCGCAAGAACATGGATGAAACATTGTCAACCACAAAACTACAATTGGACAAATTGCACTCTGACATCAGTCGCTCTCTAGAGAAAATAGGTAGCCGAGAAAAATACCTCAATAATCAACTGGAACAACTGATATTAGAGTATCGCACAGCTCAGGACCAACTGTCGCAGGTTAAAGAACAGTACAAATCAGTTAGTGGGGGTGTTACTGAAAGGTCTCGGACATTATCTCAGGTATGTAATTTAGTGGAATTCGGAACAAAAGTTCATGATTAGTTACCAGTTGTATGAGTCTATGCTACTCCTGTACTACACTATCTGGCCAAAAGAATCTGGACACTTAGTGGTATACCACTAAGTGTCCAGATTCTTAGACTTAGAGCGCCCTGAGGCACTTATTAAAATGATTTTGGTCACACTTTTGCATCGATAACAGCCTGCACGCGTCTGGGAAGACTTTTCAAAAGTTTTTTTTTTATAGGAATTGACTTCTATCATAGATGAAGTGACTGCTTGCTGTGAGGAGGGTCGTTTCGGCTGGCTACGTCATTTGCTCTCTAATTCGTCCCAAAGGTGTTCTATAGGATTTAGATCGAGGCTCTGAGAAGGCCAGTCTAGTTTTTGAACACCCATTTTGTCAAACCGCGTCTGTGCAAGCCTCAGTGTGTCAATGGAGCAGTTATCCTGCTGGAAGAGACAATGGGCCTTCCCCTGAAATATTGGCATAAAGTTGCTACATTGCCCAGAATGTCTACATGCATCTCAGAGTTCATGTTTCCAACCACAGGAATTAACAAACCCTGGCAGAACCACTAGAAACACCTCCACACCATTATGCTTCTACCGCTATAACAATTGAGTGTCCGGATACTTTTGGCCAGATAGTGTATTTGTCACACAATATGTATTGCATAGTTTCCAAGTCCACTAGAAAACCTAATAGGTTGCTTAATTTTGTTAATACCTCTTAGTAAAATACTGTGGGTTAAGGGATCGAGTAACCCAGGTTCGAATCCCAGCGGAGGGTGGTTGATACGAATTCTGTTCCAGGCTCGCAACACAATGACCACAGTGCTGATGTAAAATTTCCCTAGCTGGCCGCCCAGTCATAGGTTAGAATCCCTGTACCGTCTGACTGACTTTGTTCCTCTCCATGTAACGTGAATGCTGGTTAGTTCCATCAATGGGTCCTCCATAAAGTCTGTTTTCTCACAATACTGGATCTAGGAGTTCCCTTGTCTCCTGGATTAGGTTCGAAATTGCAAAGCTATAAAGTTGAACATTGATGGTCGTAGGTATAAGCATGGGCCGGCGATTCAATGCACGGTTATAATAAAATGTTTTTTAGTCTTCTGGTTTAATTAAGTATTCTGTTAAACTCTATATATTTTAGAAAATTCTCAAAAATTGACAAAGTTTTTAAATTTTTATTTTTATTTTTTCTGTTGTGTACTTAATTAAGTACTAGAAATAGATAATAATGTGAGTATCAAATATAAAACAAATTAAAATACAGTAATGACCCGTTTATTCACGAGTTCCGCAAATAAATCGAAAATTGTAGTGCATGTTAATTTAACACTTTTATGAAGTATGTATGCATTTTTTCCCCTTTACCATTCTTTGTTTTAGTGATTTAGATGTAGAACAAATATTTCTGTTGTATGTACCCTTGTCAACTATTCCTGGGGAAAAAGTCAAATAATTTCAAACAGTCCTTAATATTCAGATATTGTGGAAAATTATCCTAAAGTATTTTTAAAATTCTCGAAAAGCATCTGAATTATTTTCATAATTTGATCTTCATTGCACAAATTCTTTTACTTTTAAATTATAATTGAAATGATTATTATTAAAATTCGAAAGTTTAGTGAAAATGAAGAAAATCTGTTTTAGATTAACATTAAAGTCAGGGATTTGCAAAGTTATTGGTTGGTTGGTTCTAAGGCCACTTGTCACACGGGCAAGCCTGTTTGGTGAAACCGAGCAAATTTAAGGCAGAGTGTGCGATTCTTGTTTTTCAGTGGCGCCATCTATGGCAAGAATTCGACTTCTGCCACATCATACGTCACACCTGTTTATAAGGCGGACCCATTCATACATCCATTCATTCATCCACAGATCGTAATTTTGACCTGAATCAGAGAACAATCGATCTCCAATCCAGTACCCCCAGAGATATTGATTTGTTATGGGAACATGGAGGACTGTGAGACTCGACACAATTTTAACGTGCATCAGTCACCAACTACAGTCTTCGGCCGGCGGGGTTCGAACCCACGAACTCTCGGACATGGGGTCAGCGCCCTACCGATCAGGCTGTACCGGCCTTGCAAAGTTGTTCTGGTATTAGTTTGTTATTGCTGTAATTTAAAATTGTGCTTGTCTCTCTTTTGAAATTCCTTAAAAATAGATCAAATTGTATTCAAAACCAAAGATTTTTTTCTCCTAAAGATCACAGAGGAACTGGATCAAGTGAAGCAAGAAATGGATGAGAGAGGATCCAACATGACGGATGGAAGTAGGTTTTTTTTTCTTTCCTACTGATAGATATTTTTATGTTTCTTTCCAAAGGCCTCTTCCTTTATGACCATCAGGGGGTTGTGAGGCAAACTGGATGTTAAATAAAAAAATATTTTAATCTTTACAGGCACTTTTATGTAGTGCAGAATTGATCAGGGCTAAAGAGAATAGAAGGGCTGGTTCACTCCTTTGAAGTTGCTCTCGCCGCGCCAATCCTCCGATTTTCTCTAGTGACGTCACTTTGGCGCAAAGCTCGCACTTTTACTTCAAGAACGGAGCTTTCGGCCTTACTAGCTCTAACTAATATTGGAGCATTTCTTTTTGCGAGATATTCTAAGACATTTGTTATTTTCTATAATGACTTTCCTCAGTTTTTGCAGTGAATTTACAAGAATTTAAAACTATTATCGAAATGCCAGTTTGCGCGATTGCAACTTGCAAAAATTCTGATATAAAAACAAAAGGAAAAAGTATAATTTTTCGCGTGTTCCCTAAAGTAAATGAACAACTATGTAAAGAATGGATTCCGAAATGACACAGTTAATATAAAACAGCAATACGTTTATTCTGTCGTAAAGAACTTTTATAAAAATTCATTATCTAAATAGAAACCGCCTCGTTACTTCATAAAGAAAGGCAGGTGAAAAGAATTAAAAAATAGATAAAGTCAAAGAAAATTAAAATGTAAGTAAAAAGTATAAATAAAATATATAGTATATAGTTGAAATTCTCCTAATTTCATAACATATTTTTTAATGTAGTTATTCTAAATATTTATGATTTTTTTTAAAAATTATATTCTCTTCAATTTAAATATCTATAAATTATATCATCGTAAATTTAAATGTCTATAAACAATTGTAAAATTTCTAATGTCATTATGAACCTAAATTATTATTTTGTTTCAGTAATTAGCGTTTAAGGTTGATGTTTCCTAATGATTAAGTATGAACAAATTGCTATTAACGACATATTTTAAAATCAGGGATTCTAAATTTAACTTAACTTATCTTTATAAAAGAATATGTAGATAAAAAAAGTGTCGATATATGCCTTCATTTTTCTTAATAGTTAAAGTTAAAACTGAACTTTTTAAAATAAAGTATTTATCGTGTCATTTTCACCAACTAGCAAAACATTTTTATAAGTTTAAAATGGTATTTTTTTTATATAATAACCAAGAAAGTTTTTTTTGAACTATGTTTATGAACGGAAATAATGTGTTAATTACGTAAAGTTTGAAAGCTAATAACCAGAAAAAGTCTAACTTATTTTTACAAAGAGAAAAAAGCAAAGTTATCATAATATCTTTGCTTGCGATCTCCGAGATCTGTGGACACAGTGACGTCATGAGGAGGGAAATCGTAGCTTCAGCTCTAAGAGCGGAGTGAACTAGCCCTTCTATTCTCTTTAGCCCTGAGAATTGATTGTATTCCAGGTATACTTTGGAATTCTGAATTTTTCCTATCATTCTTCTAGGTCTAAAAATTAAAAGCAGGGCATGCGATTTTTCCACAAGAATCGTGAATATTGTGTCGTATCTCAAATTAAACATAAACATTGAAAATATAAACATTGTAGAGTACATAATATTGCAAACATTTGACTCAGTAAAGCAACTCTCATAATATTGATTAGTTTACAAGACCCAATTCAACCTTTTAGTTTTGCATCCAACTCAGACTGCAACACTGTTCATTTCTTTATGTGAAGATACTTGAGTATCGATGTTTGTCCTCGCTGACTAAAAGCTTCAAGACGCCAAAGGGATTTTGAACTCACAAAAATTTAAAAAGAAATTATTGAGGTTTTTCCTAGGTGGCTACGAATTATACCTTTCGAGTTAGTGACCTTTAGGGACTTCTTTTTCCTCCTTATCTTTTTATTATTTTTTTTCATGTCCGGAAGTTACCAAAACTTGACGTTTGTTTTGGCGTATATATCGATACAGAAAACTTCTCCATTCCATTACTATTGTTTGGACAGTGAAGTTAATTCTTTCTTTTTTGGCAATGAACTCTATATTGAGCCGTGGTGGCTCAGGGGATAGAACGTTCGTCTTCCAATGAGGTGAACCGGGTTCGAATCCCAGCAATGACTGTTCGATACGAATTCCGCATCCGGCTTGCACTGACCATAGTGCTGACTTAAAATAGCCTCAGTAGTAGACGGATCATGAGTTAGAGTGCCCCTTGCCGTCAGGCTAACCGCAGGAGGTCTTCGAGGTTTTCTTCTCCATGTAACGCAAATGCTGTCTAGTTCCATCAAAAAGTCCTCCACGAAGGCAAATCTCTGCAGGAGTTCCCTTGTCTTCTGGATTGGGTTCGAAAATTCAGGGCTATGGAGTTGAACATTAGTAGTTGTAAGTCCTAAATTGGGTCGGCTGCTCAACGATGGTTATAAAATAAAATTAACCCTATATTCAATATAAATACTAAGCAGAGTGGAAAAACTATTTTATGTTTTTAGAAAATAAAATATTAGTTTTGTAGGGGAAAAAAATAGTGCGTGGAGTCCCTCCGCGCGGAAGAAGTTAAACTTCGCAACCTGCGACGTTAATTGTAGAAGAATCAGCAGTCGTAGAAGGATCACTAGTTCTATTCAACGACTCTTTTTACTGCTCCGCTCGCTTCCGTGCTCTGTAATCACGGTAATATTGTGCATTTTTCCCTCTTGAACCAGTGGAAGTGCTTGTGGTTGCCTCATCGTCTCGCCATGGAAAATGTATTTGTATTAATAATGTATGTGAATGCGTCATAATGTAATTTCAGAAGAGAAAACCTAACAATCAATTGATATTCACAAGAGACGTACCTTCACATAACCTGCTTAAATCCGTCACATTGTCCGTGGGATTGTTTTCACTCATTTTTTTTCAATTGTTATCCACTAAATTTGAAAATAAAAAATACTACCCTACTTAAATTATATGTATATCAAATCGAGCTAAAAAATATTTATAGAAAAACAGTAATTTTATGCTAGTGAGAACCAAAACAATATGGAAATGAATGAGGGAAAACTGGATCCTACCACGTGATTTCCCGGCCAATAAAAACGTTGCGTTAAACGTTTAACGCAACCTTATTGAAAGTCGCATAAGAAGTATCACTTCAAAACTCTGGTCAATGGATTATATTTTGTTTTGTTTTTGTTTCCTCAGAGCCTTTGGTGAACATCCGTAAAGCACTGTCCAAACTGAAAGTAGAATTGAGCCAGATGGATGTCCGAATTGGAGTAGCCTCTCACACACTCCTGCAGGCAAAACTGAAAGAGAAGGGAAATTTGCAGAGAGCCATCAACAATCCACCCATTACCATCTTCTAAGAGATTGTGTTCTTGAGTGCAATAAATTTATTTTGTATATATTCAAGTCTGTCATACTCATTACATTTTTTAAAAAAAGTTATTGTTACAAATGTAGTTAAATCATGGTGTGTAGCGTTTTTAAAAAGCCCTTAAAGGTGCTTTTTTCTTTGGGTGTTTTTAAAAAGTGCCTTTTTCCCTTTTCAAAAATGAGATTTTTTGTTCTTTACCATGTCGATTTTTGCCACGGATTATGGAAAAGCATACCTTTTACATTGTTCTGTTCAACGCTTTCACAATTCATTTACCCACAATCCATTTCGGCGTACCATCGATCCATAGCGTATGAAAGCGCCAATCATTTTACATGTTTGATGAAATGCTTGCGAGTCTGTATGTGCGTCTACTGAGCTGGGTTCGGTGAGATTATTACCTTCTCATGTGCTACTCTGCTGTATTTTGCAAGATGTTTTCGATTTCAGACTTCATTTTCCAACCTCTGATATCGAACCGAAAAATCTCTCGATCATTTTATAATAGCTAATATAATCAAGAAAAGAGTTCTTTGTCAGAAACTTGTTATTTTCTCATGATCATCTAAAGTCTTTGAAAATAATTTTGCATTTTGTTAATGTATATAGTGCTTAAAAATATTTTTTGAGTGCTTAAAAAGTACTTGAAAGGTGCTTATTTTTTGTAGAAAGATTTAACTGCGCACCCTGTTATTAAGGTTTAGTTGTAGTAGTATAAATTATTTGTTGATTTTGAGAGTTTCGAAACTAAAATAATAATTTTGTTTCTATCTTTAGGTGCATGAAATTGCAAATTTATCGATAAATTATTTTTCATTAAATAGTTATAGTCGTTTCTAACTATATTCACTTTGAATAGCCCTGTACTTGGAAATTTTTTTATATTTAGTCTTTACAGCTGTATACTACAGACAATGTTGTTTGTATGCCATTATGCGTATAATCATGTACAACAGTATTTTTATGCAACAATCTTTGCTTGCCTTTTTTTTTAAAGAAATGAGTGACTCAACTAGTAAAATAAATAAAGCATATTTTATTAAAAAACATTCAACAGAGTACTCCAACCAAATGTGTTGGAGCAGAAAAGCTCACATTTATGCTGAAACACGATAGAATCTGATGCAGTAGTGAAAATTAAATAAGACACATCTACCATTTTGAACAGATGAGAACGCAGAGGAAAGAGGTATATACACAGTTGTATCACATTGTATAATAAGCGTTATCTTCCTTCCATCTAACCCAGTCTTTGTTTCCAAGAAGTCAAAGTTAACAACAAACGAAAAATAATATTATGAACCTTCAGGAAACCAGATGGATTGTTATCTTAAGCCAATCTTGATTTCTCTGAAGTTTCACTCTTAAGCTGACAATAAACAATAAAAATTAGAACTTTCAGTGAAGAAAAGTCGGGTTGTTGTCTCAACCCAGTCTTAACTTCATGAAAGTTAACAATAAAAATTAAGAACTTTAAGTGAAAAAAAGTCGGGTTGTTGTCTCAACCCAGTCTCAATTTCATGAAAGTTAACAATAAAAATTAAGAACTTTCAAGAAATAAGATTCGTCGTTGCCTCAACCCATTCTTTAGCTCACAAAGTTAAACTTAACAATAACAATTACGAATTTTAGGGAAAAAGACTGATTGTTTTTTTTAAACATAGATGGAAGAAGACCCAACCCAAAAAATTGAGTTCTTGAATCAACATGAGAGGCAGGTTGAAATAGCAATTCATTATATACGTAAAATTAAACGTGATATTACTGGCACTATTTCTTAATAAAATCTAATTTTACTCATAATAAATAGCTTTTCAACCTACATTAAGCACTTGCATTTTTCGATTCCAATTTCATTTGGCACTTTGGATTCTAATACAATTCGTTCCGAGTCGATTGGAATTAGTATCCACTTTTGCCAGATCTTACTCCTGCACCACCACGACCTGAGTATCCACCAACTGCTCCTGAGGTAGCTCTTCCTGAAAATCCACCTTGTGCACCACCTCTGAATCCTGTATTTGCTCCTGCACCTATTCCAGCACCCCCAGTGCTCCCTGCACTAGCTCCAGAACCATAGTTTTCTGCTCCAGATCCGGCACTGTAGCTTCCAACACCAGCTCCACCGCTAGCTGCAGCATTTCTTCCTCCTGCTCCAGCTCCGTAACTGCCAGCTCCTGTTAACAGAAAATATGGATAAGTTTCAAAATATATTTGTAGTTTAATATCACTTTGTAACTTTTACTCAAAAACAACATAAAGAGAATGTCGTAAGCGTCATAAAGAAGCAGACCCTATTTACAAATGCAGGATTTAAATTTTTAGGGAAATATTTAGCTTCTAGTCTTGGTACTTCTGAGTTTTGTGTGTGTTTAGAAGATTCCATTTCTACGCATAAAACTTTGGATTTTAAATAATCGATTTGAAGAATCAAAACATTTGCTTTTTTATCCGACGCCTTTTTATTTTAATTAATAACCGTTATAAAAGTTGCGAAAATTTGCGTTTTAAACTTAGAGACCGTTCACTAATTATGCACATCTATACAGCTTTACCCGCAGGATTCATTGTTTCAAACCTTTTGGTAATTCAGTGAGTCAATTTTCAGTTCAGAAATTCAATTTTTATGGAACAAAAATCAGTTAACAAGTATACATTATAAAGTTTTAATGTGATGGATTCAGGGGTCGCATTATTAATTACTATTTTTAGCAAATGCAGTAATAAATTTTGTAGCATTGAGTTATGTACTTTCACTATCGATTCGTCTGTTACATCTGATTTTATAAAAGGATCGATTCGAATCAACAATACAGTAATCGTTTCATAGAATTTTTAAAGGATTGATTGCGGAATCATCCACTATAATGTTAAGACGCATATTTACTGTGTTTTTGTTTGGAGATTATTGAAACCCTACTCTAAAATTATTTGATTAAAGAAATCTTGAACTCTATTACAAATTCGAATTAAAGAATGGTATGAAAGAATATTATATGGATTATGGATATCGCTTATTTTTTAGGAAACGGCACCAAAATGTTGGCATTTTTTGACCTACTTCTAAGTCGGCAGACACACTGATGAAAGATAAATTCAGACATTCCAATTTAGTACTTGAAACTATCTCCTTTTGATATTATTGACAATTCTTTTAGTTATACAGTCAAACCCCGCTATAGTAAACCTTCAAGGGACCGAAATTTAGGTTCACTATAACCGGGAGTTCACTATATCCGTTCCGCAAGCAAATTAACTAATGGTTCCCAAACTCCTCTATTTTATTACACATTATTTAAATAAATGACTGAAAAATATTATTTAGTAGCGAAAAATGTGTTATTTTTCATTACTCTTCGTCTTGCTTACAAAAAAAATTTAGTAATCTTTAGCTGATGGGCGATCCTGACAGAAAATTCATATTGATCCCACTGACACCTTACAGGTGCACTATCTGCCAGGGTTGGAAATATCTGCTTGGTTTGTTTAGGGATGGGAAAGAGAAATAAAAGAAGCTTATCGCTAAATTCCCCTCTATAGATGGTTTTAAAAATCGGTATATGTATTTATTTTAAAGTAAAAATTTCAAANAATAAATGTACCAAAAATTCTATCGAGTTGAAGCTGTAATGCTTGTTAATACGAACTGCTTTTTATATTGCGGTTAGCCAATTGTAGAAAGTTGTCCGATTTGAAATCTCAACTCTTAGTGAGACAATTCAGTAATATTTTTATATAACTTTCTGTATATATTTTTCTAAAAGGGAAATATATCTATAAAGATACTCACCACTAAATCCTGATCGTGCACCACCACTGGAGAATCTGTCTTGAAGACCTGCGGGTGGTTGATCTACAGTCATTTGGACATCAGCAGGACTCTCTTTACCGTCGGTTCCTGGTTCATTGGTCCTGATGTTGGCACGGAATCCGTTGGCATCAGCGACGTACTCAACCACCCTAAAGAGGCCTTGATTGTCCGTGTATCCGTAGCTACCTCTCACTGTGCCACTGGCATCTCCTTCTTCATTACGATAATGCACATTGCCTTCTTCATCTTGTGCATTGTAATCAAAGTTGTATGGTTTTGGTGCACCCTGGCGGAAAATTGATTTTGATTAGAAGATGAAAAATCAATGTTTCATATTGGAAATCATATGGGGCAAAACTGAAAGCCGCCACCGGACACAGGGCAACTAGTACAAGAAGTGGCGATTAAATTTTTTTTTTGTTGATAATCGCCATTTTGTTTTCGTTGAAAGTGCACTCCATATGCTCTAAAGCACATGCTTTCAACTTCTTATATTATTTATTACACGGCTAAAAACTAAAACTGCAATCATCATCGGGTAGATAGGTGAGTAGGTACATCATTTACGTCGTACTAGGCTGTTGGCAACGGTCTGAGAAACTTCCCCGAGGATGATCCGAAGATATGCCATCACAATTTTGATCCTCTCCTGAGGAAATGTCTCTCCCACTGTGGTATCCCGACGACCTGCATGCGAAGTCGAGCACTTAACGGTAGAACAGTTTAAGGAGGGCCGATACCGCACACTTTGGGGCCCTACGCAGGATGATCAAAGTGGTCACCCACCAGCTTACTGACTGCAATCAGTGATGCTTGACTTCTACAGGGAGCCGTATCCTTATGATCAGTCCACTGCAGGACTGATCATCATCGGAACGTTCAGGTCATTTTACGCTGTTTCAAATTTCAGGGAGATTTTTAAAAAGAAAATCAGTAGGATTTTAGAAATGAACCATGTGGTGCTAACCATAGTCTAAGAAAAGCTTCATAAGAAATATTACGTTAATAATATTAATAGTTCATTTTTATAGTTTAGAATTTTTCAATTTTTGAAGAAGGTGCCGATGGCTTTCAAAAGTGGCCACTGTTAAAAATACTACTACTGGCCACTGGCGGGTTACAAAGTTTCTTAATTTTGTCTCATATCAAATCCATCAATAGTTATTGAGTAGTTCATTTTATTTACTGTAAGCGTATTTTGAAAGCGTGTAATAATTGGAATACTTTGTACGACAGAACAGACCTCATTTGTTCCAGATAGTTAATCTAGCATAGTTTGATAAACGCAATACTTACGAGTATAACTGAGTAAATTTTATGTAATTTATTGCAATGTAAAATTATTTTTTTAGCTTTACGCCTACTATTCGATGCAGGAAAAAAAATTCGGACTGTGTTAATTTATATTTAAAAAAGTGCGTGTGAAGATTTCGAATAAAGTTTTCACTGTACTACCAGGTAATTCAAACAGAATATATTGAATGTATTGTGCAGAATACTGAATAGCGGGATTATAATTTGCGGGAGTTTGTCATAATACAGAATTTGGGGATAAATTGAATGTATTGTACTTAGAAAATATATTGAATTGAATGTTTTTAATTGATTGGCAAAGGAACCAAATAAAGGATGGTTGACTGAATGTAAACAATTACTAGTTTCCTAAAACCGGAAGAAATTTAGAAAACTTTCAGTGTATCCCTCCGCTTATGTTGTGCTTACGATGTGATGTGTGAACAGGCTTAATATTCTAGGAAGTTTTATTATTGTGATTTGTGTTTAAATGTACGCATAATTTTACCATTCTTACGAGTTTTCTGCAATTTATAAATTATAACTGGTTCTGATCTTAAAACAAATTTAACAAAATTAATATGACAGCATAAATAAAGTGTAAGGTTAGTCATGTTTTGAGCGTTATCCCTTTTTTAGCTATTACAGGTGTGTAAAATAGGACCATTTGTTATTTTTCGGATAGCATCATAGCAAGCTTGCGGAGTATTCCGAATTTAGTTTTGTTGTTTGTTTCTTTAAAAATTAAATTGAAAGAGCACGTTACATTGAAAACCCTACAAGTATAATAATACTGGACGGTGCGTTTTTTCAAGCTTAGACGTTAAAATCAGTTGGAAGTCTGACGACGAATTTTAACTTCTAGCGCCATCTGTGTTTAGCTTACACGGTAAGCCTTCCCAAGTAAATAAAAAAAATAGTTACTGATGACATTGAAAATGCAATACATAATCACGTTTCTTACTCCTTGATCGAATCCAGAGGAAGAGCCACCAAAACTAGATGATCCTCCATATGAAGAAGCTCCTCCGGCATAGTTGCTAGCTCCTCCTGAAGCACCTCCAAAGCTTCCACCACCACTGCTGTAGCCAGCGCCTGCACCACCACTGCTGTAGCCAGCGCCTGCACCACCACTGCCGTAGTTGCTGCTACTTGAACCACCACTGTAACCACCAACGGCTAAGGCATAACTGGTGGCAGCAATGACCAGGACAGCGACCTGTTCGAACAAATAAACCATTGTAAATAAAATACATAATTGAGTATACACTACGTTGGTTTGTCTTTAAAGTATTAAAACCAAGTAGACACAATTTAAAACAATTTGCTAAAAATTCATAAATTAAATAAGATATGTCTAGAAAAATTGCTCAATTCATATAAGGTTTTTAGGCGTTCACTGTTCTAGTGGTTATTGCACTGGTCTACGAGGCCAGTCGTTGTGGGTTCTAATCCCACCGTTGACATAGATGTAACTTTCTCTCTCTCTGTGTGTGCCCTCTGGGTAACGATAAGAGAGTAGCAATTCTGGTACTTCTGAGACCAATGGGAAGTGCCCACCATTGAAAAAAAAAGGTATTCAATAAGCAAGAATTCTTTTTTCGATAATTTAAAACTAACAGCCACAAAACTGAATATGCATCCTGGAATTATTTTTATTGTCTGCGTAGTATAGGCGTGCACAACCTATGGCCTGCGGACCACATGCGGCCCGCCGACTGTTTATGTGTGCGATAAATTTCTTTTAATTTGGTTTTTGTTTAAACATTAAATATTTTTTTTATTAAAATATCTTCTTTTTCGTTAAAATTTATATCCTACTCCCAATAGTAGCAGTTTTTTTTAGTTTTAAATAAATTCAAATAATTAAAAGTATTTAATTAATACTTATAATTATTTGAATAATTTCAATAAGTTTATTGTAAGTTTATTGTAATTATTGTAAAAATTCAAATATTTTAAGTTTACTGATAAAAATGTTTGGTGCTTAGAACACTAATGTTCTGAAAAAAGTTATCATATTTGCCGCTAACATGACTAAATATGCGTGCGGCCCTTCAGTATGTTTTTACTAAAAACCTTTTTTCAATAGAGCAAAAATATTGCAGTTTCAAACCTTTCATAGTAAAAGGATTAAAAATTATTTTTTAAAAAATATAAAGGTAAAATGGTCACCTAGGCCCATCATGACGTTTTAGCTGACGTCACACTAGCGATAGGATCAAATTGCATTGTCCTTTAAAATTTCGTGACAAGGTGGATTTTAGCTAAGCATACAAGACTTCGCGAAAAGAAAACCTTATAATTACCTAGATTTTAAGATTATTTTCACCTTGAGACTAGCTTTATTAAAGGATTTTTTCACGCTTGGAAACTCGGAGTCAACCTCGATTTAAGGTTTTTATATAGTAGGTTGTTTTCCAAGGTATTAGATTTGGGTAATGTGCGTAGAATAGAGCAGATTGTCACAGATCTTGTTTTAAGGTTCGAATGTTTACACGTAAACCGCATAACAAACCTTTTTTAGGTTGACATTGAAAGGTTTTTGCTGAGTGAAAATAAACCTTATTTCGCTATCTGGGTATGATTTTAAAGCAATTTAAAGTACAGGAATTTGCACCGTTTTTTAGTTTTTTGGGTGTCCCTGAAAAACTCAAAGAAAAGATGAGAGACAGAAATGTATGATTTACTTTTTTTTTGTTCGAGGAACATGATATAAATTCTTACCAAGTTTAATAAAATATTTTTTACTTAGCAATTTTTTTAAATAATAAAGGGTGGAAAATGTTTTTTTTTTTAAAAAGCAAATTTAATGGGTTTAAAATATTAATCATAATATATATATATATTCTCAAATACAATTGCTTTAACTTGGTTAATATGATTTTGAAAACATTCAAATCTTGATAAATGTGTAAAATATTAATTTTGTAAATATAAAGATGTTTGGTAAACCTCATATATTTTTATACATTGCTAGAATATTCTGGAACATGTTCTGAACTTAAAATAACTTATTGAATTCCTTTCTTTATTTGTTTTACGCTTTTTAGAATGTAACTTTTGTGAATAAAAGAAAAGTGTAGAAACTGTTGGTTAAGTTATATCTCTTTTTGGTTTTTGACTTCTATGATAATAATGTAGATGGCGCTAAATATCAGCATGAAGAAAAGCCTTGCAGAAACCGTATGTGATATTATTTAAAAATACCGCATTTGTTGGGTTAAAAAAAGCATTCGAATGTTGAGAACCTATTATTAATTTTAATTACTTTCAACTAGGGCAGAAATTTTCTCCACTAATTGACGATTTTAAAAATGTTTAATTTTTTTTACAAAATATTTAAGCTTGTTGTCTGTTTTTAAGTTCGGTTAATTTTTTATAAGCCAGAACCCGTAAAGTTAAAAATTGATGCTTCGTTGCGAAGTTTCCAACTGGTTTTGAGGTTGAGGTTTCATGAGTTTTTTTTAATTTGTTTTGGCGAAAGAGACTCGAATTATATACCCTCGAACAGAAGCTATTTAAGTTATATGTAACTGTCAAGTTAATTTTATAAAAAGTTACCCATTAATAACAAACTATTTTGCAAACGTTATGCATTCTAAATAGTTATTCATAATTGCTGGATTAATTCCTGTTCGTTTCCATTCAATTCATAGCTATTTTTTATTTCTCATCTAGGTAAAACCAAAAAAAAAAAAATCATAACAACAAATTGCTTCTTTCTTCTTTTCTTTTTTTTTTTTTAACGAAAATTAAATAATTTTTAAAATATTTATCTATATCAAAAGTTGATTTATAGATGTGAAGTTTATATAATTTAAAAATAATGTTTTACTTTGAGTTTAAAAGTTATTCAAGTTGGGTTCTCATTCAGTAACTTAGTTCTAAGAATAACTACAAATAGTTATAAGTGACAGAAGGTAAAAAGTCACTGGAATATATAAGAGGGGCTAATAAAGCTACTAATAAATTTTGTGTAAATTAGTTTCAAAGTTTATATGTTGATAATAGGAAATAAACCTCATACATTTTATTTAATTTTATAACCGTTGTTGAACAGCCGACCCAATTTTATGGGTTTACGACTACTAATGCTCAACTCCGTAACCTTGTAATTTTGAACCCAATCCAGAAGACAAGGGGACTCCTGGATCGAGTATTGGGAGAAATTGACCTTCGTGGTAAAATTATTTTTTAATAAAATTATTTTTATTTCATTAATGGGTGATAATCATTTTTAATTGAGAATATTATTATAAATTTAAACAGCTATTGGTGAATCAAATGCATTCACATTTATATTAACATTATATGAAAAGTGAAATTAATTTGTGCAATGAACGACTCTAATTGATTAACATTGTAAAACAAAAAAGTGAAAAATTCGATGAAATGACTCACAATATCTTTTTTTATTAAAATTCCTTTCAAAATTAAAATTTTTAATAAAATTATTTTTATTTCTTTAATGGGTGATAATCAGTTTTAATTGAGAATATTATTATAAATTTAAATAGTTATTATAGAATCAAATGCATTGACACTTACAGTTCCTGGTCAAATTATTAGACGCACTATATGATTTTATGTATAATCCTAATTATCAGGTGATACTTTACAGCTTTATTGTTTTTAAGCAACTGAAACCGGTTTGACTAGTTAACGTTCGTGTATCAATTGGTTAAATTAGACGATATATAATGTAAATTTGTCGATAGGATAAATTAGACTATGTATTATATAAATATAGAATATTTATTATATCAGGTATTGTATCAGTATATTGTAATAATTAGATCAAATTATTAGACGTCTCATGCTTTGCACGATTTTATATGCAATACTTATATTTAAACATGCATGTAATGGGTTTTTAATCAGAAGATTTTTTATGTACTTTCTATTTGTATTTAAATTTAACGTATTGCATTACAATGTTAACCAATTAATACACGAACGTAAACAAGTTTTAACCGGTTTCAGCCGCGTAAAAACGCTAAAGCTGTAGTGTATCACCTGATAGTTAAGATTTTACATAGAATCTTACAGTGCGTCTAATAATTTGGCCAGGGACTGTATATCAAGATAGTATGAAAAGGGAAGTTAATTTGGGCAATGAGCGACTCAAATGTTCTTGGAACCTTCAGCCATTGCAAAATCACACTAAAACTGTCACCTAATCCTTCATCCACTAAAATCTTCGGAATTTAAAGAATTACAAATTAAAATGAGTTAATGAATAGTTAAATAAGATTAAAAGAACCTTCATCCATTTCAAAATCACCCTAAAACCCTCACTTAATCCTTCATCCACTAAAATCTTCGGAATTTAAAGACTTTTAAATTAAATTAAGTTAATGAATAGTTAAATAAGATTAAAAGAATCTTTATCCATTTCAAAATCACCCTAAAACTCTCACTTAATCCCTCATCCACTAAAATCTTCGGAATTTAAAGACTTCAAAATTAAAATGAGTTAATCAGTAGTTAAATAAGATTAAAGGAAGATCTTCCTACGTTAAGCTCAAAGAAGATCATTCTATCCTAATTTTTTGCAATCTCAAGCATTTATTTTCGAAAATGTAATTTTCCGCGAAGCTCATCGTGCACTAAAAGTTCTTTTTATCGAAAGATATCGAATTTTTCAAAGAAAACCATACATACTTGAAAGAAATACATCCTTTTTGCTGGCGATACTCTCGGAGGACTAGTCAGGAAGAAATTCTGAAGATGAGTTTGTTGAGAATGAGTTCCATGTCTTCCCTTTATATACAGAATTCCAGAGTTACTTCTTCAAAAAGTGTCACGAGGGTGGGGAGGATGTGGGAGAAGGGGTGTTCGGATCAAGAGATCGTCTGACCCCACAGCTTCCTGCTCATTAATTTGCATCCACTCTTCTTAAAACACGAGAGAGCAGCAGGTTTGCTCGATTTTTTTGTTCTTTTTGTTTTGACCGATGAATGACTGGACAAGAGAGTTGAAAACGAGAGTGTTCTTTAATAGAGGGGGGGAAGGGGATGGAATTGTAAAAAGTAGGTAATCGTTTGGCTTTAGGGTAGAGATGATCTTAATTTCGATTTCTCTATCATGAAGTTCGAAAAAGGAAAAAGTGAATGATTTTTGATTGAATTTGCATGCAAAGGCGTGTGGAATACGTTATTTATGATGTTTGAAGAGTTTGAATATCCTTAAAGGGAATTCCGCTATCTCTTTTTATTCTTTTTCAATTTAAATAACAGTTTCCTCAGTAGTAGTTCGCCTTTGTTATTATTTTTCATTCCAATTAAACCGTTAATGGGATTTCTTCGATTTAAATAAATCCCATTATGTCTGTTTAGTTGAAACAATAATCATCCCATTTTTTTTAATGTTTTGTATGCATGGCCTGCAATAATTTGACACTTCTTTTGTTCATGAAATACTATTAATTTTTGCGCAAGGATTAAATTGGCTAATTATTAATATCTTTAAGTTATCAAAGAGACCATCACTCTTTACACTAATTACTAAGCCTTTATTTTTAAAGTGTGATAAAACTTAAAATTTATTTGTTTTGCTTTTTGCTGATCTAATCTTTAACTGTAAGACTTGAGGCAATATAATGATAAGACACATTTCATAGAGAGCGTTTTGGTGGAAAATTCATCTCGATTTCCAAGTAGGCAATAAGTCGTTTTTTTTTGTTGTATTGTATTGTGTTGTTATCTAGCGGAAAATCAGGAAATATCTAATTGGAGATAATATTAAGAAACTGTTTAACGCAATAATGAAAAATTCGTCTTATGACTAAACCGAAAACCTTCAGTAAAATAATTTCTTAAACAATCGAGTCAACCGGTTTGCGCGTTCTCCAGATTTAGAATCTGAAAAAAATTTAATTTATATCCAAGGTTCCAACCCAGTGCTGCAATAGATAACTTTTCGAACTGTTGATGGGCATCAAGAGTTCGGTAAATGGTTTGCCTCCTTCAGTCACCATTTATCGAACACGAAGTCCCGCAGTGGACCAGTAGTCCAGCAGTAAACTGATCGTAAAGACCCGGTTCCCAGTAGAACACCGAAGTCAAGCATCACTGCTGCCGTCAGTAAGCAGGTGGGTGATCACTTTGATCTGCCTGCGTAGGATCGGAGGGTGCGCGGTATCGATTCATGTTACACTGTTCTACCGTAAAGTGCTCAACTTCTCACGCAGGTCGTCGGGCTACCAAAGCAGGGGAGGCATCCCCTTTACAAGAGGATTAAAATTGTGATGGCATTTCTTCGGTTCATTCTCAGGGATGTTTCCCAGATCGTAGCAGCAAATAGCCCATTGTGCAGCTCTAGTGTGACCTACCTACCTACCTGAAGTACATACCTACCTTCAGTCACCACGGTTTTATTTTCTTTTAAAAAAAATTATTGGCAATCGTGCCTTTTCATGCATCAAACTTTTATTCACTTATTATTGTTTCGATAATCCTTTTCGGGTGTCAAAACTTGTCGACATGTTTGTATGTGAACTATGCAGCAAATGACATTTTTATTGACAAGCATATATAACTTGTTATATAAGTGCTTAGAATGGAATATTTACGGTACTTTCAGAGTTTTACTTTTCAGGTTGACTTTAAATTTACTTTTTTATTATTCATTTGAGTTCCACCATTACAGAAAAGCTTCTATAATCATTTTATTATTAAATCATATATCTTAATTTGAAATTATACTGTTTTAATAATTTTGCAAATTAATTTTCCTTTTTTTTATATTTAAATTTTATTTCATAATCGTCGTTGAACAGCCGACCCAATTATTTGGGTTTAACACTACTAATGTTCAACTCCGTAGCCTTGTAATTTTGAGTCCAAACCAGAAAACAAGGGAACTCCTGGATCAAGTAGTGGAAGAAATTCTGCCTTCCTGGAGGACTCTTCGATGGAACTTACCCGCATTTGTGTTACATGGAGAGGAAGACCACGAAAACCTCCCACGATTAGCTTGACAGCAAGGGGATTCTTACCTATGAACAGTCCACATCTGAGGATATTTCACGTCAGCACTGTGGTCAGTGCAAGCTGGATGCGGAATACGTATCGATCAGCCATCACTAGGATTCGAGCCAAGTTCACCTTTTTGGAAGGCGAATGAGAAAATTTACATTCGTCAGTCCAGACATTAAATTGAAGTTGGATTAGACACCAGTTATAGTAATCTAGTCATCGCTGGTGATCATGTCTATGCTTTCTTGGGGATTGGGAGTTAAAGGAAAAAAGCTTAAATATCAAATTCTTCATCCTCTGTTCGATTTCTCGGTCTTCCTGAGTTATACTGTCTGTGGAAAGTCTAATAGTTTGTAGTTTTTCCCATGAAGAGCTGTACAAAGTGTCTCGATGGAAATTCCATGACTGTTACGGATGGAACTATATTACATTGAGCATAAGTCATAGTTTGATTATAGAGTTCGTCAATTCTAAAAAGAAGATCATATAAATTCGTAACTAAAAGCTGCCGTTTTAGCAGCAGTCTAGTTCATCCAATTTTGTTGCGAAAAAAAAATATTCGCTATAAAAAAAAGTTTTATTTTTCAAGTGGTTTTAAATTTTTCTTCTTATTAAATAATAATATAAAGTTAGAAATAGGCAAACGATTCTTTTTTTTAGTATATCTTGTTTTTAAAATCGTTTTCTAGTTTGTCAAAAATTTATTTTTTAAGTTCTGTTTCATGTGATAGGCATCAGAATCGAAATGCATGCGTTGCTATGGCCACCGCTGCTGCTTGATAATTATTTTAGAATTCTTTTTTTCACTTTTAATTTTGTTATGCATTATGTTGGTGAGTTTATTTTTGAGATATGGGACCAGAGAGATCCCATAAACACTTCTTGAGTTGTGAGAAGAGAATTTCATCATTTGAATGATATTTTTGTTTTTATTGTTTTAATTAAGAATCAGAAATTCTAGCCTACAGTTCAAACTCGATCGTTTTCAATACTAATTTATGTGAATATCACAAATAAAGAGTGGCCCAAACTAAATGACACGGTCCCAAAGGCTAGAGTTGAAGCAAGAAAAAGCGATGCCAAGATCTAAGCTTACCGAGGCTGAAAAAGTCAAAGCAAAAGAACGTAGACGAGAATACCATAAGCGTTATGCACAAACGGAAAAACAAAAGGATTCCGTTTGTAAGCGAAAGCATGGAGTCCGTTTCTCACAAAAGTACCAAAGTGGTTGACAGAATTGAACCCTACCGAAGAGCGAATGGTGGCTCTCCGAACCCCTTTTTGCAAATACGAGAATTGGGTGTTGAACACCAGTTAGGGATAAAAGGATCTATTGTCAACGTACCCAATGACTTGCACAAGACTATCAACTGTCTTTCACGCAATATAAATGATTCATTCACTATACATGTAAAATTGAGAAAAGACCTAGCTTTCAAACCCCATTTCATGAATGAACTTGTGAATTCGAAACGGGTGTATGATGTAGCTTACAATCTCTTTCAAACACCATTATACCAATCCGAAAATGTTAATATTGATCTCGATTGACTGTTCAATGTCTGTTCCATCATCAAAGGAAATCACAATTTTTATTTTAATTGATTTACGTTTCGAAATCTTAACAGAAGAAAATGTAAATTTCAAATCAATAGTAGTAAATAAGCCTTTAAGAACATGCCCTTCAAAATTTATTGCCTCCCAATTCATATATTCATTGATCTTTTTTTTTTTTGTTGTCGTTGTAAAAGGGCAACCATATTGGGAAAAATGTATATTTCACCCCCTTGCGGCAGAAAGATTAACTCTGAGTGGATTATGAATTTATCTATTATTTGGTCCTCTATGTGTAACGTTTTCTTTATTTGATTTTATGAATTTCGCTTTAATTTATCGTTTTTGAATTTAGGTTATTCGCGAACGCAACGGCCAATAAAAAACGTTGTTATTTGAGACGAATGTCTGCTAGCAGAACGACATGATCATCAGTTGCACTGGAGTTTTCTTCAGTGTAGCATGGTAACGTTCCTTCTTTATTGTGGCTTATTAAATTAAAAAAAGAAAAATGTTTTTTATTCTTTCTTATGCGAGTGAAAACAAAATGGAATCTCTCTCTCTTTTTTTTCTAGGGAAGGAACATCTAAATCACATCGGAAAATATTTGTTAAAAATCTTCTTATTAGAGTTCAAACCTTGTGCCTGATAAATCGCTCTACTAAATTTAATGATCTAATATGAAAGGTTCATTTAAACTTTAGATTCCATACTTTTCTGAATCATATTACTTCAAACATTAAAATATGCAAAAAGTATACAGAAATACTTTATGCTGTAGCATTTAATTTTGCAAAAGAAGTTTTTTGACAACAATTTTTATCAAACAATTATAAAGTGAAAAACGTAAAATAAAGAATGCTTAAGATAAAAAAAAAAACAATTCTAAAAACTCCTCATATTTAAATAAAAAACTTTCAGATTTTTTTTCTTTTTTTGTTATTCTTAAAGTGTATCAGACGTTAAAAGCCATTCTGTAGAGAACTATCATCAAATTAGCAAAAAAATTATTTACAAGTAAATTTTTTATTATAAAAATCATAACACTTACTTGCTTTATAAACGCAGAAAATTCCAAATGAAATGTTTTTCGTTTTAAAATTTTATTCGGAAATAACATATACATAGATTATCCCTACATTACTTTTAGATGACATACCACACAACAAAATTTTGTAATTGTAAGATCTCGATATGAATTTCAATATGTAAGTTGAAAACAGAATAGCTGAATTCTAGTTGAAATTAATCACTCAAAATTAAAAAATACTT